TCCACACGCGGGGGGGGGGGGGGGGGGGTCCGAAAAAAACTGACTTTTGTGGACGCATATGGACTTTTAGAAGGAAAAAAAAGTGGATTTTTGTGGACGGAGGGGGGGGGGGGGGTCTAAAATCCCAAAAATATTGTGGACGTCATAAATGGATGACCCCATATCACGTCAATATTAAAATTTTTTTTTTTTTTTTTTTAGATGTGAATGATAAATTTGACTATCTGAACTTGGCGGGATACAGGGCAGATGAAGTAAAGTTCATCTGTTTCTTTGTCCTAAGCATATGAAGGGATGGTGTGGTCAGACAAATGCTCGGCCGGAATCGATTTTTTTAAAGATAAAAAACGTCTTTTTGGATGTGGGGTCTGGTTATTTAGTGATGATAAGTCACAGATGTGAGATCATTTATGGATGACCCCCGAAACCCACAGTTATCCAAGGGATGAACTGGTATTCTAGTATACAGCTAAAACTCAAGTTTGTTTACATGTTTGAATTTTTTTTTTTTTTTTTGTTTGTCCGTTTGGTTACAGGAGAGAATCTGCACTATGTGTAGAGCTGTCAAATTGTATTTAGGTACAGAACAATTTTTGTTTTTAGACAGACTGTTAATCACAAATTTATTTAAAGAGGTTAGTTAATTTATTAATTTATTCATTGGTAGATTAACCACATTAATTATAAAAGTTCAGAACACTGACTTTATTTAGAGTGAATAGTGACGTCACATGATTTATTTACTTTTTACTACAACAATGGCGGCTTCCATCGAAGATTGTGTTGCCCATTCCAATGTTTAACGCGTTTTAAAGCTAATTTTCTGTCGGCTATAGCTCTAACGAAACGTCCGTTTGCTACTTCTATTACGTTCCAACGCTAATATCAATTTTCAACACTCCTTGTCATTTAAGTAGGCATATACAATAAATTTCTCTAGATCTAGATCTAGAATCTAAAAAGATTAGAAATCAAGACATTATTTATAGAACTAGATCTAGAATCTGGGTCAAACCAACATTACTTAGTTAAGTCAATCCATTTTTAAATCAGAATACATTTTTGAGTTTCTTTATTAATCTATTTTAATCCTTAAATACTTGATATAAATCTTTGCTTTTTAGCTTCAATAATACAAGTGATTTATCTATCTATCTAGGGTCTAGATCTAGATCCAGCAAGAGTTACGCAAAAACTAGAATAGACTTAATCAAACCAGTCGTTGAATTTAGATAATTCTATCTAGATCTAGATAATAATGAGTTTCTATACTAAACTATTTGTGAGCGGGTGAATGGATTATTTATTTTGTATTATTTTATTTGGTGCGAATCTGCGAGCGGATGATTCACGGGGTTTCCCTTCCGCCCGAAGCGGTCAGTATATAAATTGACCGCTCGGATAATTTTCTTTCTTTTGACCCGAGGCAAGATATAGATAGGTGATAGGGTCTGTTTCTGCGTGGGCGCGTGGCGCACCTCACGCGTGAAGTGAGGTTGCTTGGGCAACTTGGCTGGGTGTTTTGTTTGGTGTAAAAAGTTTGTTTGGTATATATTGTTTTGTACGTAATGTTTTCTACGTAATGTCTTTTTGTGTGTTGAAGCGATGAGGTGAGGGCGAAGGCGTTCCTCTCTCCATCAAGTATAAAGTACATCATCTAGCTCTCATTATTTTGTGACGTAGTCCGAAATTGGGAGTTTTGTTATATATAAATTGTTTTGTTCCATTAAGTCTGTTTTGTTTGGTGTAAAAAGTTTTTTTTTTTTAGTCGTGTTTTGTGTATTCTGTAGTTTATCATCTTTCTTATTTTGATTGGTTCCATGTAATAAATTTAATTAATTGTTAAAAGCTTTTTTTTTTGTTTTTATTTAGACTAAGATTAGGTTATTAACCAGTCTGGGTTACCGGACTTGCACTGACCGGACAGTAATAGATAAGCCTAGAAGGGTAGATTTTAGAGATCCCCCACCCCTAGCAGGGCTTACACATTTAAAACCTTCATTATTTTATATAAATCTTTGTTTAGCTATGCAATAGGCTTATTTAAGTTAAAAATTTAATTTGAAAGATACTAGATCTATAGCTAGGGCCTATGCGCGTAAATCAAGTTTCATAGGGAGACTCAAAGAATATACCACACAAAAAATGTCAATGACGTAACGAGTCTAGATAGCTAAGTTGTTGGTGTAATAGGCTTCCATGCGGGTGGCACTGGTTTTAGACACACCATGTCAATGATAAAAAAAATATTTTTTTAGATGTGAATGATAAAGTTGCCTATATTAACGTGGCGGGATACAGAGCAGGTGAAGTAGAGTTCACCTGTTTCTTTGTCCTCAACACATGGAGGGATATTGTGGTCAGAGACATGCGCCGCCGGAATCGTATTTTCAAACGATAAAATCATGTTGTCTGAGACTTGGCCGGACACTGGGCAGGAGAAGTAGAGTTGAGTAGGTCACCTGTGACGTCAGTATATGAAGGGATAGTGTGGTCAGACCCATGCTCAACCGAAACCGGCATTTTTAAAAGATAAAAAACGTCTTTTTGAGTGTGGGGTCTTGTTCTTTTGTGATGATAAGTGACAGACGTGATGTCATTTATGGATGACCCCCGAAACCCACAGTTATCTAACTAGATAACGGGTAGTCTAGTATAATTTAAAAGAGCGAATTCTAGCCTGTCGTTTGATGTATAAATTGAAAAAAAATAACGTGTTCATTTCATTTTAAAAAATCACTTTTTAAACTTTAAATGACTATATATTCACGAAAGCAAACTAATTCTGTTTCAATTTTTACACCGATGTAATGTTCACTTGTATAACTACTTTGTGTTGTAAATTGACGTATTTCTCATTTACGGTCGCGAAGCCGTGTCCTCAGCCCAGAGTGAGCCTTCAAACAAGTTGTAAGTAACATTTTTAAAATTTCATTTCCATTTTAATAAATGAATTTTAAGTTTGAATGTCAATTTAGTTTAATTAGTACAGGTTATTAATGTAAATTTGAACGATACTAGTCCACGGTTTTAGCGTGTGAATTACGCTTGTACACATGGTGTGTTTAGACCTGAAGCTAGGGTTGCCAGGTGTCCAGTTTTGAACTGGACAGTCCAGTATTTGAGCAGACTGTCCAGGATAAAATAAATATAAATACTGGACAAGTATATGGACAATACTCTTTTACCCCTCTTCTTCTGCTTTGCCGCATACCTGAGAAGGGAAGGATGGAAAGGTGTCCAGTATTTTCGGAAAAGGTATCTGGCAACCCTACCTGAAGCTATTTAATTCAGGACATTCTAGGGATTTAAAATATGGATGCACTTAACTATTAGATGCTAGTGTTTACTAATTCCTTAAAATCTATCGAATGGGATTAATGATAGGGTCGTATTACTAAAGTTTATCTGGACTATCACGTCAAAATTATGAATCGACAAATTTAAAATGGCCACCAGACAATCCTGGTTACTAAGCGGACGAACTCAATTATTTAGAGGGAAAGAAGGTTAAACACTTACAAAATATTAATGAATCATAAAAGAAATTTATAATTATAATAACTATTTTTGTTAATAGATTTTTATCAATTTATTTAAAACTAATGACACTAAATTTTTAAGGACTAATCCGATTCATTTTTTTTTTCGGTTGTGCACTATGATTATGATTCCCCTGCTGAATAATGTGAAATGGTCTGCGCTAGTCTCCTTAATAAAAATATACCAGATCAATTTTTAGATGTTGGTGCAATTTATTAAGATTGTACATGTTGTGACAGAATTAAATGTTATATTAGTTGTAAGTGTAGGTCAGTACTAGTAGTGTTTCTCATTATTTATTTTATATGCATATAGTAACAATGAAGGACAGTTAAGTTGTCCTATAGGATGTTGAGAACCACAGTATGGTACCTTCGTTGGATATCTCAACCAGTGTGGCACAAGCAACGAATTTCATTCAGTAGACCTACTCCATCTACTACTTTTAAGAATATACTATCAAGTATAAACTACTTTTAACAAAAAGGTGTTTTCGGGATTTTTCATGTTTCCAGTTATAGTTACAGACAAGATTTTGGAAAAATATCGATGTTTTAAGAAAAATTCAACTGCAATTTTGAGGTGTGACTTCATTTTAGGGGGGGGGGGGGGTCTGGCTTTTGTGACGATGTGTAACAGAGGGGAGGGAGATAAAAATCGTCCAAAAAAAGTATGACGTCATTTTACCCTTTTTGCTTTTTTAAAAATCGCATAACTTATTTTATTTATTGAGATAATTTTATAAAATTTTAAAAATTGTGTCATAGAGCTAGGAATAAAAAGTTCTTTCAGGACATAGGCCTACTCACTACAGAAGTCTGCAATCAATAGTTAATTTCAGTTTGGACTATCTACTTTAATTTAAACATTATCAACAACTTTATTTTAGATTTTTTTGCCGCTCGATCTACTATTCAAGTGTTTCAATTGGTTCTACTCCCTTTGATTATTGAAAAATATAATCATTAAATTAAGTTTTTTAATAACTTATTAAATTTCGACTGTCAAAAAAAAAATGGCAGTAGAAGTGGGTTACAATTGAGTTGACCACAGACGGACATACACATTGAGAGGCTCTTGGTTGATTCATCAAACTTTTAATGGAGTATAGTCTTTTTTTCTAGTAGAATTCATCATATCAAATGAGACACAGACAATATTCCCCCTCCCTCATGTTTTTGTAAACAGTTCTAGAATTTCACAGAACAGAACATCCTAATCTTAAAAACCAATTTTGATATGTTAGTTGAGCTCACAAAAGTTATAATCCATAAGAATGTGAAGGTTGTTTTTGCTATTAGCTCGTGATGCTTGCTTTCAACTTTCAGTAAGAAAAATTGTGGATTTTTTGTTATAAAACTAAACTATCCCCCTCCCCCCATGACTAAATAATTCTGCATTCAAAATTTAGAATTTTTAAGCCAGTTGTCTGAGAATCAGATTAAAAAAGATGATGCTATAGTTTGAAATAAATATTTATTTTTTGACTCAGTTTGAAGGACAATACATGCTGAGCTCTCTCTAGAAAGTGTACATTGGTTCCATGAGTGTAAGAGCTAGCTCAGCACTTACTGCTGTACCAGTTGCATGATGGCGTGGAGCTAACGTTTGCCCTATTACAACAATGTCAAACTTAGCATAAAAACACGCTGGTAAGTTTAAAACCAGTCTTACATCAAGTAGAACGTTTGAAACCTGTTTTACATCAAGTAGAACATTTGAAACATGTCTTACATAAAGTACAAGAGAACAGTCTACAAGCTAAACCTAAGCTTATAAAGAAAAATCTAATGAGATAAACTCTAAAGAGATAAATCTCTTGCCATGTCTTGTCACCATCACCTTCCGTCCTTTTGTTGACTCAGTGTACCATGTTGGTATGTAAGCGCACACCATGTTGGTATGTAAGCGCACACCATGTTGGTATGTAAGCGCACACCATGTTGGTATATAAGCGCACTTTGTGCTGGTGTGTGCATACATTTCTTACAATAAAGAAACCCTAAATCAACTGCCCTCAAGGATAAAAATATAATTATTTTAAGTTAAGAATAAAGAAATGTTTAGTCAGTTGTTTTAAAAAAAATAAAACCCATTCCATAAAAGTAAGGTATATTAAAAAGAGACCATTAAAAAAAAAGGATTGAAATATGTTGCATGTCTAGGACAACAATTCAATAGCTGGTAAACAAATAGGACAAACATTGGACAGTCAGAGAAAGCTGGTCTATACAGATAACTTTGACAGTCAGAGAAAGCTGGTCTATACAGATAACTTTGACAGTCAGAGAAAGCTGGTCTATACAGATAACTTTGACAGTCAGAGAAAGCTGGTCTATACAGATAACTTTGACAGCCAGAGAAAGCTGGTCTATACAGATAACTTTGACAGTCAGAGAAAGCTGGTCTATACAGATAACTTTGACAGTCAGAGAAAGCTGGTCTATACAGATAACTTTGACAGCCAGAGAAAGCTGGTCTATACAGATAACTTTGACAGTCAGAGAAAGCTGGTCTATACAGATAACTTTGACAGTCAGAGAAAGCTGGTCTATACAGATAACTTTGACAGTCAGAGAAAGCTGGTCTATACAGATAACTTTGACAGTCAGAGAAAGCTGGTCTATACAGATAACTTTGACAGTCAGAGAAAGCTGGTCTATACAGATAACTTTGACAGTCAGAGAAAGCTGGTCTATACAGATAACTTTGACAGTCAGAGAAAGCTGGTCTATACAGATAACTTTGACAGTCAGAGAAAGCTGGTCTATACAGATAACTTTGACAGTCAGAGAAAGCTGGTCTATACAGATAACTTAGACAGTCAGAGAAAGCTGGTCTATACAGATAACTTTGACAGTCAGAGAAAGCTGGTCTATACAGATAACTTTGACAGTCGTGTGGCTGGGCCTCTTACAGACAGAATACAATGATTGGATAAACATTTTATAAAAATAGCATCAATAAAAATAGAATCCACAAATAATACTTCAAACTTGGAAGGAAATGATTCACGACAAATGGAAACAAAGATTCACCTGACACACGAAAGCAAAGATTCACCAGACAAGTGAAAACAAAGATTCACCAGACACGTGAAAACAAAGATTCACCAGACAAGTGAAAACAAAGATTCACCAGACAAGTGAAAACAAAGATTCACCAGACACATGAAAACAAATTTGAGTGCAGCTCAAACAGAAATTTGCAAAAATATTCACAGCATTGACAAGAAGTCTTATCTTGTAAATGTTGAAACTGGCAACAAATAATGATATCCAGACCAACTTTGATTGAAACATCATTCAAGCAGACATCACAAAAGTTCAGCCAGAAATATTTGATTTTAAAATTGAAACAGTCTACTCAACATACATGGAAATTTCAAACATTGACAAATCTTTTAACCCAGCGAACTGGTTCAATTCTAGAAAATCCCAAATAAAGTTGACTATTCAGTCATTTTGAATTCAAATGGAAAATTGAATATTTTGGACAAACAAAATTGCCCTTTTAGCTCTCTGGTCCAGTACATGCACACATAACAACTTGACAAAATCATTTGTTCTTTAGCTCTCTGGTCCAGTACATGCACACATAACAACTTGACAAAATCATTTGTTCTTTAGCTCTCTGGTCCAGTACATGCACACAAACAACTTGACAAAATCATTTGTTCTTTAGCTCTCTGGTCCAGTACATGCACACATAACAACTTGACAAAATCATTTGTTCTTTAGCTCTCTGGTCCAGTACATGCACACATAACAACTTGACAAAATCATTTGTTCTTTAGCTCTCTGGTCCAGTACATGCACACATAACAACTTGACAAAATCATTTGTTCTTTAGCTCTCTGGTCCAGTACATGCACACAAACAACTTGACAAAATCATTTGTTCTTTAGCTCTCTGGTCCAGTACATGCACACATAACAACTTGACAAAATCATTTGTTCTTTAGCTCTCTGGTCCAGTACATGCACACAAACAACTTGACAAAATCATTTGTTCTTTAGCTCTCTGGTCCAGTACATGCACACATAACAACTTGACAAAATCATTTGTTCTTTAGCTCTCTGGTCCAGTACATGCACACATAACAACTTGACAAAATCATTTGTTCTTTAGCTCTCTGGTCCAGTACATGCACACATAACAACTTGACAAAATCATTTGTTCTTTAGCTCTCTGGTCCAGTACATGCACACAAACAACTTGACAAAATCATTTGTTCTTTAGCTCTCTGGTCCAGTACATGCACACAAACAACTTGACAAAATCATTTGTTCTTTAGCTCTCTGGTCCAGTACATGCACACAAACAACTTGACAAAATCATTTGTTCTTTAGCTCTCTGGTCCAGTACATGCACACAAACAACTTGACAAAATCATTTGTTCTTTAGCTCTCTGGTCCAGTACATGCACACAAACAACTTGACAAAATCATTTGTTCTTTAGCTCTCTGGTCCAGTACATGCACACAAACAACTTGACAAAATCATTTGTTCTTTAGCTCTCTGGTCCAGTACATGCACACAAACAACTTGACAAAATCATTTGTTCTTTAGCTCTCTGGTCCAGTACATGCACACAAACAACTTGACAAAATCATTTGTTCTTTAGCTCTCTGGTCCAGTACATGCACACAAACAACTTGACAAAATCATTTGTTCTTTAGCTCTCTGGTCCAGTACATGCACACAAACAACTTGACAAAATCATTTGTTCTTTAGCTCTCTGGTCCAGTACATGCACACAAACAACTTGACAAAATCATTTGTTCTTTAGCTCTCTGGTCCAGTACATGCACACAAACAACTTGACAAAATCATTTGTTCTTTAGCTCTCTGGTCCAGTACATGCACACAAACAACTTGACAAAATCATTTGTTCTTTAGCTCAGCTCTGACCCTCTTGGTCACCCGCCCACAAGTAAGACCAACAATAAAAATAACACCAATCACAGTGAAGAGAATAGCAAAAAAATAATTTCTTGAAGGAGAAGCAGTCATCTGGTCAACAATTTCTTGGAAACTTTCAGGGGGCGCAACCTACAGGTAATCAACAAACTTGTGTCAGTAAATGTGTCAAACTAAACATCAAACTAATTGATAAAATCTACCTCAAGTTCACCTTAATGGGACCAGGAAATTAAGTTCACCATAATGGGACCAGGAAATTAAGTTCACCATAATGGGACCAGGAAATTAAGTTCACCATAATGGGACCAGGAAATTAAGTTCACCATAATGGGACCAGGAAATTAAGTTCATCATAATGGGACCAGGAAATTAAGTTCACCATAATGGGACCAGGAAATTAAGTTCACCATAATGGGACCAGGAAATTAAGTTCACCATAATGGGACCAGGAAATTAAGTTCACCATAATGGGACCAGGAAATTAAGTTCACCATAATGGGACCAGGAAATTAAGTTCACCATAATGGTACCAGGAAATTAAGTTCACCATAATGGGACCAGGAAATTATGTTCTGTACAGGAAGCCTTTACCTGTGCTGCATATTCCCATAAATCTTTTCGTCTCTTCAGCATTTCATGACAGCTCCTGGATAGAGAGTCTGGGTCACTCTCTAGCAGGGCAAGCAGGCATGACATTTCTGGAGAGCAGAAATCATAGTAGGATATGTCATCATTGTAGATTTGGCAAATGCCATAAAACTGAGTTAGGTCTGAGTATGTACTTACGTCGTCCTTGCCCTTGTTTGACTATGTGGCAATGTTTGATCAGATCTTTCAGGCATGTTGAATGAAGTAGTGGGTCTACATGGACATCTATACGGCTTTCTGCTATGCTGTAGGCCACAGCCTGGAGACACAAGTGTAAACAAGACAAAAACTGTATATATATATATATATATATATATATATATATATATATATATATATATATATATTATATAAACATACATTAGGGTGGTCATTATTTTTAACATTTTGATTTTTCAATGGGGTACCACTTTTAAAATAAAAATTCAAATTTTGGTCAGATCAGACCATATATGGTGGGTGCTACCATAACCCAAAATGCTCAGCATTTCTTTAGATTCAGCATAAACTTGAATAAACATCACATAACCTAGTTTTATTATGAAAAGCAGTTTAGATTGTAGAAAGCTTAAAGAAATGATACAATAACATAAAATGAGAGTGAAATGTTCAAATAGAATTTCAGTCAGTATGGCCAAACAAAACCAATTGATCTGTGCCCACTCCCCACCCAACCCTTGATATGATACATTCAACTTTATACACAAGTGATAAATGTTCCTCGTAATATTATTTTATGTTTTTTAATAAAAAAAAAACTGGAAAAAAGGTTAGTCATCTAAAAATAGACTTGAAAAAGAGAATGTTGTCCTAACATTTTTCCTTACATTTCTTTCAAGCTAATCTTTAAATACATTTTGAGAGAAAAAAGATGGATGACACAATTCAACAACATTAATCACTGACCTTCTGACAACCTTTGGTTTTTAACTTTTGAAAATTCCTTTTTAAGCATTCAATGACAAGACCTTTTTCATCTGAAAACTCATCGGTTTCTTCGTTCTTTTGAAGACTGGCAAATTCAGTCTCACAGACACTATGGATCTGTGAAATAAAACAATCCAAGAGTGATTTCCATAACACTCTAACCATGTGGTCCCTAACACTCCAACCATGAGGTCCCTAACACTCCAACCACTAGGTCCCTAACACTCCAACCATGTGGTCCCTAACACTCCAACCACTAGGTCCCTAACACTCCAACCATGAGGTCCCCAACCACTAGGTCCCTAACACTCCAACCACTAGGTCCCTAACACTCCAACCACTAGGTCCCTAACACTCCAACCACTAGGTCCCTAACACTCCAACCATGAGGTCCCTAACACTCCAACCATGAGGTCCCCAACCACTAGGTCCCTAACACTCCAACCACTAGGTCCCTAACACTCCAACCACTAGGTCCCTAACACTCCAACCACTAGGTCCCTAACACTCCAACCATGAGGTCCCTAACACTCCAACCATGAGGTCCCTAACACTTCAACCATGAGATCCCCAACATTCCAACCACTAGGTCCCTAACACTCCAACCACTAGGTCCCTAACACTCCAATCATGAGGTCCCCAACACTCCAACCATGAGGTCCCTAACTCTCCAACCATGAGGTCCCTAACTCTCCAACCATGTGGTCCCTAACACTCCAACCACTAGGTCCCTAACACTCCAACCACTAGGTCCCTAACACTCCAACCATGAGGTCCCTAACACTCTAACCATGAGGTCCCTCCTTAATTTAAGAGCCATGTCCGACTTACTTCATCCTTACATTCCTGAAACAAGACAGGATTGAGGCCAATGTCTAAAGCTTCCTCTTTGATGATAGACTGGACTTCTTTCTCACAGTCAGATGAGAGACTCTGATTCAAAGATATATCAAAACACCCAGTGACAAAATTGCAAGTCAAAATAAAACTTAATTACATACATGAACTTTTAAAATCAAACTGATGAAAATCAAGAGACAAAAATCTGAGAGTTTTGGCCAAATATGAGATGAACTATTCTTGAAGACTGACTGTAACATGACAACAAGACAATCCAGTTGCTTGGTGTTCAATGAAAATATTTTTGCCCTCAACATTTGAGATTTGATGAACAGGAAGTAGGAACACGAAGACAATTAAATTGGAATTGGTCCAATTACAGAACTTTAGAAAATTTTAATTTTCTTAGCTGAGATTTTTTTTTGCTGGTAGCGACACATCTTGCACTGACTCGACACATTTCATAAGAGATGTTCTCTCATACAAAACCAAACACATTTGACCTTGTCAAAAGAGCCTGTTAAACAAACATTTGACCTTGAGAAAAGAGCCTGTTCAAAACAAAAAAATTGACCTTGAGAAAAGAGCCTGTTCAAAACAAAAAAATTGACCTTGTCAAAAGAGCCTGTTCAAAACAAAAAAATTGACCTTGTCAAAAGAGCCTGTTCAAAACAAAAAAATTGACCTTGAGAAAAGAGCCTGTTCAAAACAAAAAAATTGACCTTGTCAAAAGAGCCTGTTCAAAACAAAAAAATTGACCTTGAGAAAAGAGCCTGTTCAAAACAAACATTTGACCTTGAGAAAAGAGCCTGTTCAAAACAAAAAAATTGACCTTGTCAAAAGAGCCTGTTCAAAACAAAAAAATTGACCTTGAGAAAAGAGCCTGTTCAAAACAAACATTTGACCTTGAGAAAAGAGCCTGTTCAAAACAAACATTTGACCTTGAGAAAAGAGCCTGTTCAAAACAAAAAAATTGACCTTGTCAAAAGAGCCTGTTCAAAACAAAAAAATTGACCTTGACAAAAGAGCCTGTTCAAAACAAACTGGAGTCCAGAGATAAAGTTACAGTGTGTTTACAATATGGGTGCTTTTGCCATAAAGAAAAGCAGGCTGAAATATACTACCATGCATTTTATTTAAGAGATGGCAAAGAAGATTTTCAAGGCAAACACAAAGAAGGGGAGACAACTGGCAAACACAAAGAAGGGGACACAACTGGCAAACACAAAGAAGGGGACACAACTGTCAAACACAAAGAAGGGGAGACAACTGGCAAACACAAAGAAGGGGAGACAACTGGCAAACACAAAGAAGGGGACACAACTGTCAAACACAAAGAAGGGGACACAACTGGCAAACACAAAGAAGGGGAGACAACTGGCAAACACAAAGAAGGGGAGACAACTGTCAAACACAAAGAAGGGGACACAACTGTCAAACACATAGAAGGGGAGACAACTGGCAAACACAAAGAAGGGGAGACAACTGGCAAACACAAAGAAGGGGACACAACTGGCAAACACAAAGAAGGGGAGACAACTGTCAAACACAAAGAAGGGGACACAACTGTCAAACACATAGAAGGGGACACAAATGTCAAGTCGTGGCTGAAAAATGTGACAGAACAGTCCAACTAATCATTAATGTGCATAACAGAAGAATTTAACTCAGTGACATCAAGACTGTATACCCATAGTTGGACCAAAGTTGTCAATATTAGAGCCTGCATGTTAGACACTAATTTGGCTGCCTCATCCACCCAGTCACATCACTTAAGGCTCCATCTCCCCACACAGAGTTCAAACTACCTATCCTCCACCCACCATTAATGTCCACATTTGGTTAAAATTCCTCCCCTTAGTATGTGACATCATCATATGATATGACAATGATGCATATGCTAGTCAGATGTTTTAGTGGTATTGTTGTGATGCTACCAGACAATGATGCATATGCTAGTCAGATGTTTTAGTGGTATTGTTGTGATGCTACCATATGACAATGATGCATGCTTGTAAGATGTTTTAGTGGTATTGTTGTGATGCTACCAGACACATTCAGTATACTTTGGTTTATTTTTCTATGTGTGGATTCCATCCATGACATACAGCAAGGCTTGCAGGTTAAAAACTAAGATTCGGCAATATAACAGAATAAACAGAGAAATGATTCCTGCATGCTCCAAGTGTCATCAGTCTTTGGTAAGCATGAAATAGTAAGAATAGGGTGTAAAAAAAGGTGAATAAATAATGTAGAAAAATGATGTTTTCAAAAGTACCTTAGATTTTTTGACAAATTGTTTTTTCAAGCAGTCAATAACTTTCCCTTCCATCTCCTCTTCTCTGTTGGAGCCGTCGTAAATTGTTGCACAGTACTTGGGGATATCCAGGCGACAGGCTTTTTGCAGGTGGGGATTCAGACGGAAATCTGTTGGGTTCAAAGGTCAGGCTGGCTTCAGACAATAACAAATGGTTGGGCAGTCATGGGTGGTTGGTCAGGGGGCAGCCACTCATGGGTGATTGGTCAAGGGGCAGCCACTCATGGGTGGTTGGTCAAGGGGCAGCCACTCATGGGTGGTTGGTCAAGGGGCAGCCACTCATGGGTGGTTGGTCAAGGGGCAGCAACTCATGGGTTAGGGAGGTAATGGGTTATGAGGCTGTTATGAGTGAGGGTTGTAATGGGTTATGGGGCTGTTATGAATGGTATCAGTTGATTGCAAGGGTATGAGAGTACGTGTTGAATGGTTGATTTATATTAATAAAAAATTGTGTGTGACAAGGTACGTAACAATGTGAGGTTTGAGTGTAGGAGATTGTTGCTGGGGGAAATGATTAGTCTTGTGGGTGTGGAGGTATTAGTCTGTCTTTGTCGCCAATATGGTCGTAGCTAAGTCGGGTGTCACTCGGTGCAACACTTCGTGGTGTCAACCCCCCCCCGCCAACAAATTATATATATATATATATATATATATATATATATATATATATATATATATATATATATATATATATATATATATATATATATATATATATATATATATATATATATATATATATATATATATATATATATATATATATATATATACATATATGTGTGTGTGTGAGTTGGCCTACAGAGGCCTATAATTTAAATATATGCCGCATGCGCTTACATGTATGTGTATAAGCTTTAATCACTGCAGACTTAATAGTAACGATGTTTGTCTATAGTTTGTTAATAATAATACAGTTGGTCATGGTGGTCAAATACGTCATGGTGTCACCACACACTCTTGTAATAGTTGCGTCATGGTGTCACCACACACTCTTGTAATAGTTGCGTCATGGTGTCACCACACACTCTTGTAATAGTTGCGTCATGGTGTCACCACACACTCTTGTAATAGTTGCGTCATGGTGTCACCACACAGTCTTGTAATAGTTGCGTCATGGTGTCACCACACACTCTTGTAATAGTTGCGTCATGGTGTCACCACACACTCTTGTAATAGTTGTGGTCACCACACACTCTTGTAATAGTTGCGTCATGGTGTCACCACACACTCTTGTAATAGTTGCGTCATGGTGTCACCACACACTCTTGTAATAGTTGCGTCATGGTGTCACCACACACTCTTGTAATAGTTGCGTCATGGTGTCACCACACACTCTTGTAATAGTTGCGTCATGGTGTCACCACACACTCTTGTAATAGTTGCGTCATGGTGTCACCACACACTCTTGTAATAGTTGCGTCATGGTGTCACCACACACTCTTGTAATAGTTGCGTCATGGTGTCACCACACAGTCTTGTAATAGTTGCGTCATGGTGTCACCACACACTCTTGTAATAGTTGCGTCATGGTGTCACCACACACTCTTGTAATAGTTGCGTCATGGTGTCACCACACACTCTTGTAATAGTTGCGTCATGGTGTCACCACAGTCTTGTAATAGTTGCGTCATGGTGTCACCACACACTCTTGTAATAGTTGCGTCATGGTGTCACCACACACTCTTGTAATAGTTGCGTCATGGTGTCACCACACACTCTTGTAATAGTTGCGTCATGGTGTCACCACACACTCTTGTAATAGTTGCGTCATGGTGTCACCACACACTCTTGTAATAGTTGCGGTCACCACACACTCTTGTAATAGTTGCGTCATGGTGTCACCACACACTCTTGTAATAGTTGCGTCATGGTGTCACCACACACTCTTGTAATAGTTGCGTCATGGTGTCACCACACACTCTTGTAATAGTTGCGTCATGGTGTCACCACACACTCTTGTAATAGTTGCGTCATGGTGTCACCACACACTCTTGTAATAGTTGCGTCATGGTGTCACCACACAGTCTTGTAATAGTTGCGGTCACCACACACTCTTGTAATAGTTGCGTCATGGTGTCACCACACACTCTTGTAATAGTTGCGTCATGGTGTCACCACACACTCTTGTAATAGTTGCGTCATGGTGTCACCACACACTCTTGTAATAGTTGCGTCATGGTGTCACCACACACTCTTGTAATAGTTGCGTCATGGTGTCACCACACACTCTTGTAATAGTTGCGTCATGGTGTCACCACACACTCTTGTAATAGTTGCGTCATGGTGTCACCACACACTCTTGTAATAGTTGCGTCATGGTGTCACCACACACTCTTGTAATAGTTGCGTCATGGTGTCACCACACACTCTTGTAATAGTTGCGTCATGGTGTCACCACACAGTCTTGTAATAGTTGCGTCATGGTGTCACCACACACTCTTGTAATAGTTGCGTCATGGTGTCACCACACACTCTTGTAATAGTTGCGTCATGGTGTCACCACACAGTCTTGTAATAGTTGCGTCATGGTGTCACCACACACTCTTGTAATAGTTGCGTCATGGTGTCACCACACACTCTTGTAATAGTTGCGTCATGGTGTCACCACACACTCTTGTAATAGTTGCGTCATGGTGTCACCACACACTCTTGTAATAGTTGCGTCATGGTGTCACCACACACTCTTGTAATAGTTGCGTCATGGTGTCACCACACACTCTTGTAATAGTTGTGTCATGGTGTCACCACACACTCTTGTAATAGTTGCGGTCACCAAACACTCTTGTAATAGTTGCGTCATGGTGTCACCACACACTCTTGTAATAGTTGCGTCATGGTGTCACAACACACTCTTGTAATAGTTGCGTCATGGTGTCACCACACACTCTTGTAATAGTTGCGTCATGGTGTCACCACACACTCTTGTAATAGTTGCGTCATGGTGTCACCACACACTCTTGTAATAGTTGCGTCATGGTGTCACCACACAGTCTTGTAATAGTTGCGGTCACCACACACTCTTGTAATAGTTGCGTCATGGTGTCACCACACACTCTTGTAATAGTTGCGTCATGGTGTCACCACACACTCTTGTAATAGTTGCGTCATGGTGTCACCACACACTCTTGTAATAGTTGCGTCATGGTGTCACCACACACTCTTGTAATAGTTGCGGTCACCACACACTCTTGTAATAGTTGCGTCATGGTGTCACCACACACTCTTGTAATAGTTGCGTCATGGTGTCACCACACACTCTTGTAATAGTTGCGGTCACCACACACTCTTGTAATAGTTGTGTCATGGTGTCACCACACACTCTTGTAATAGTTGCGTCATGGTGTCACCACACACTCTTGTAATAGTTGCGGTCACCACACACTCTTGTAATAGTTGTGTCATGGTGTCACCACACAGTCTTGTAATAGTTGCGTCATGGTGTCACCACACACTCTTGTAATAGTTGCGTCATGGTGTCACCACACACTCTTGTAATAGTTGCGGTCACCACACACTCTTGTAATAGTTGTGTCATGGTGTCACCACACAGTCTTGTAATAGTTGCGTCATGGTGTCACCACACACTCTTGTAATAGTTGCGGTCACCACACACTCTTGTAATAGTTGTGTCATGGTGTCACCACACACTCTTGTAATAGTTGCGTCATGGTGTCACCACACACTCTTGTAATAGTTGCGGTCACCACACACTCTTGTAATAGTTGTGTCATGGTGTCACCACACACTCTTGTAATAGTTGCGTCATGGTGTCACCACACACTCTTGTAATAGTTGCGGTCACCACACACTCTTGTAATAGTTGTGTCATGGTGTCACCACACACTCTTGTAATAGTTGCGTCATGGTGTCACCACACACTCTTGTAATAGTTGCGTCATGGTGTCACCACACACTCTTGTAATAGTTGTGTCATGGTGTCACCACACACTCTTGTAATAGTTGTGTCATGGTGTCACCACACACTCTTGTAATAGTTGTGTCATGGTGTCACCACACACTCTTGTAATAGTTGCGTCATGGTGTCACCACACACTCTTGTAATAGTTGCGGTCACCACACACTCTTGTAATAGTTGTGTCATGGTGTCACCACACACTCTTGTAATAGTTGCGTCATGGTGTCACCACACACTCTTGTAATAGTTGCGGTCACCACACACTCTTGTAATAGTTGTGTCATGGTGTCACCACACACTCTTGTAATAGTTGCGTCATGGTGTCACCACACACTCTTGTAATAGTTGCGGTCACCACACACTCTTGTAATAGTTGTGTCATGGTGTCACCACACAGTCTTGTAATAGTTGCGTCATGGTGTCACCACACACTCTTGTAATAGTTGCGGTCACCACACACTCTTGTAATAGTTGTGTCATGGTGTCACCACACACTCTTGTAATAGTTGCGTCATGGTGTCACCACACACTCTTGTAATAGTTGCGTCATGGTGTCACCACACACTCTTGTAATAGTTGCGGTCACCACACACTCTTGTAATAGTTGAGTCATGGTGTCACCACACACTCTTGTAATAGTTGTGTCATGGTGTCACCACACACTCTTGTAATAGTTGAGTCATGGTGTCACCACACACTCTTGTAATAGTTGCGTCATGGTGTCACCACACACTCTTGTAATAGTTGTGGTCACCACACACTCTTGTAATAGTTGCGTCATGGTGTCACCACACACTCTTGTAATAGTTGCGTCATGGTGTCACCACACACTCTTGTAATAGTTGCGTCATGGTGTCACCACACACTCTTGTAATAGTTGCGTCATGGTGTCACCACACACTCTTGTAATAGTTGCGTCATGGTGTCACCACACACTCTTGTAATAGTTGAGTCATGGTGTCACCACACACTCTTGTAATAGTTGCGTCATGGTGTCACCACACACTCTTGTAATAGTTGCGTCATGGTGTCACCACACACTCTTGTAATAGTTGCGTCATGGTGTCACCACACACTCTTGTAATAGTTGCAGATTTATACTTAAAAGACTATTTAACTTTAATTAATTAATAATGGAACTGGCAAAAAAAAACCCAACATTTATCTTCTGTAATTTTGCAATTTTTTGCCATGGTGTCACCCCCTCCCCTTCTCTAAATGGTGTCAACCGGTGCAGTCCGCCGCGCCCTTGCTACGTCTCTGGGTCTTTGTATAGATTGAGAAAGTGGTGGTCTGTGTGTATTTACTATAGTATTTAGCTATGTAATCAACAGAGGAATGAACCAATGCGGTCCTGTTCAGTCATCCGTATAAAATCAACATACAAGGTCACAAACTGGCATCAGAACATGGCCAGTCATGGGTGGCATGTCATAGGTTATGGGCTGGCTGGTATGTATTTACCCTATGACTCCACTAACAGAGTCAGCCAACACATATTTACCCTATGACTCCACTAACAGAGTCAGCCAACACATATTTACCCTATGACTCCACTAACAGAGTCAGCCAACACATATTTACCCTATGACTCCACTAACAGAGTCAGCCAACACATATTTACCCTATGACTCCACTAACAGAGTCAGCCAACACATATTTACCCTATGACTCCACTAACAGAGTCAGCCAACACATATTTACCCTATGACTCCACTAACAGAGTCAGCCAACACATATTTACCCTATGACTCCACTAACAGAGTCAGCCAACACATATTTACCCTATGACTCCACTAACAGAGTCAGCCAACACATATTTACCCTATGACTCCACTAACAGAGTCAGCCAACACATATTTACCCTATGACTCCACTAACAGAGTCAGCCAACACATATTTACCCTATGACTCCACTAACAGAGTCAGCCAACACATATTTACCCTATGACTCCACTAACAGAGTCAGCCAACACATATTTACCCTATGACTCCACTAACAGAGTCAGCCAACACATATTTACCCTGTGACTGCTCTATCTGGCGCCGTAGAACTATCTGCCGACATCTGTGATCAAAGCCTGAATCTTCAAGATTACTCTTCAAGCAGTTCATAATGTCAGCTTCTTCAGTCACACCATCACAAAATTTCTGCAAGAAAAAGAAAATCAGCATTTATAATAAAAAATTTATAACTTTGGTTAAACAAGCTGACAGTGACATTTGAAATAAACAGTTGATAATTTAAATAAACAGATGATGACAATTTTGAAATAAATAAATGACATTTGAAAAAACAAATGATGCCATTTGAAATAAAAAGAAGACATTTGAAATAAACAGATGATGACATTTGAAATAAACAGATGATGACATTTGAAATAAACAAATGATGACATTTGAAATAAACAGATGACATTTAAAACATAAAATAACCTTTATCATTCTTTGACAGACGTGGTTGACAGCATAGTCACCAAGCACAACCTCCTCTTTCTGTGGACAAAATAAATAAACATAAATGGCACTTCAAATCTTGACAAAATAAATGGCACTTCAAATCTTGACAAAATAAATGGCACTTCAAATCTTGACAAAATAAATGGCACTTCAACTCTTGACAAAATAAATGGCACTTCAAATCTTGACAAAATAAATGGCACTTCAAATCTTGACAAAATAAATGGCACTTCAAATCTTGACAAAATAAATGGCACTTGAAATTTTGACAAAATAAATGGCACTTCAAATCTTGACAAAATAAATGGCACTTCAAATCTTGACAAAATAAATGGCACTTGAAATCTTGACAAAATAAATGGCACTTGAAATCTTGACAAAATAAATGGCTCTTGAAATGTTGACAAAATAAATGGCACTTAAAATGTTGACAAGAGACAATGACTTACTTCCCTGTCAAAGACAACTTTATGACAGCTTTTGCTCAGTTTCTTCTTGTGGGACTTCAAGCATTCAAGGGTCTGAAGAAAATAATCAAAGATATATCAAAACAATTTTTTAATAACAATCAAATATTCAACACTACAACACAACAGCTAACAAGGTGATTGATTGGTCACTACAACACACCAGCTAACAAGGTGATTGGTCACTACAACACACCAGCTAACAAGCTGATTGATCACTACAACACACCAGCTAACAAGGTGATTGATCACTACAACACACCAGCTAACAAGGTGATTGATCACTACAACACACCAGCTATCAAGGTGATTGATCACTACAACACACCAGCTAACAAGGTGATTGATTGATCACTACAACACACCAGCTAACAAGGTGATTGATAACTATAACTTAATCCAGTTATCTTCCCTTGTGGTAATGTCTAACAATCAATTTCTAACAAATACACAAATGGCTCCATTCAATCGGGTCAAAAATGAGTTACAAATTTTGACAACAAACAGCATCCATCCTTATAGACAAAGATAATGATGAAGCAAAAAAATTGTTAACAAAAGTTTACAAGCTAAATTTACATGCAAAGATTACAATCCAATTTTAAAACACAACTAACCTCTCCTTCTCCCTCTTTTTTGTTTTTGCACAACTTTTTCACGTCATTCTTGCAAGCTTCTTTTAGTTTGGGATCCAGGTTAATTGACTCACCCTATGAGTAGAGACATGAACACAAGACATGAACACAAGACATGAGACATGAACACAAGACATGAGACATGAACACAAGACATGAGACATGAACACAAGACATGAGACATGAGCACAAGATATGAGACATGAACACATGACATGAGACATTAACACAAGATATGAGACATGAACACAAGACATGAGACATGAACACAAGACATGAGACATGAACACAAGACATGAACACAAGACATGAGACATGAACACAAGACATGAGACATGAACACAAGACATGAGACATGAACACAAGACAAGACATGAGACATGAACACAAGACATGAGACATGAACACAAGACATGAGACATGAACACAAGACATGAGACATGAGCACAAGACATGAACACAAGACATGAGACATGAACACAAGACATGAGACATGAACACAAGACATGAGACATAAACACAAGACATGAGACATGAACACAAGACATGAACACAAGACATGAGACATGAACACAAGACATGAGACATGAACACAAGACATGAGACATGAACACATGACATGAGATATGAACACAAGACATGAGACATGAGCACAAGACATGAACACAAGACATGAGACATGAGACATGAACACAAGACATGAGACATGAGCACAAGACATGAGACATGAACACATGACATGAACACAAGACATGAGCACAAGACATGAACACAAGACATGAGACATGAGACATGAACACAAGACATGAGACATGAACACAAGACATGAGACATGAACACATGACATGAGATATGAACACAAGACATGAGACATGAGCACAAGACATGAGACATGAGCACAAGACATGAACACAAGACATGAGACATGAGACATGAACACAAGACATGAGACATGAGCACAAGACATGAGACATGAACACATGACATGAACACAAGACATGAGCACAAGACATGAACACAAGACATGAGACATGAGACATGAACACAAGACATGAGACATGAACACAAGACATGAGATATGAACACAAGACATGAGACATGAGCACAAGACATGAGACATGAACACATGACATGAACACAAGACATGAGCACAAGACATGAACACAAGACATGAGACATGAGACATGAACACAAGACATGAGACATGAGCACAAGACATGAGACATGAGCACAAGACATGAGACATGAACACAAGATATGGACACAAGACATGAGACATGAACACAAGACATGAGACATGAGCACAAGACATGAGACATGAACACAAGATATGAACACAAGACATGAGACATGAACACAAGACATGAGACATGAACACAAGATATGAACACAAGACAAGAACACAAGACATGAGACATGAACACAAGACATGAGACATGAGCACAAGACATGAGACATGAACACAAGACATGAACACAAGACATGAGACATGAACACAAGATATGGACACAAGACATGAGACATGAACACAAGACATGAACACAAGACATGAGACATGAACACAAGATATGAGACATGAACACAAGATATGAACACAAGACAAGAACACAAGACATGAGACATGAACACAAGACATGAGACATGAACACAAGATATGAACACAAGACATGAGACATGAACACAAGATATGAACACAAGACATGAGACATGAACACAAGACATGAACACAAGACATGAGACATGAACACAAGACAAGAACACAAGACATGAGACATGAACACAAGACATGAGACATGAACACAAGATATGAACACAAGACATGAGACATGAACACAAGACATGAACACAAGACATGAGACATGAACACAAGACATGAACACAAGACATGAACACAAGACATGAACACAAGACATGAACACAAGACATGAACACAAGACATGAACACACGACATGAGACATGAACACAAGACATGAACACACGACATGAGACATGAACACAAGACATGAACACACGACATGAGACATGAACACAAGACATGAACACAAGACATGAGACATGAACACAAGACATGAACAGAAAAAACCCACTCTCTGTAGAAGTTCGAACTTGAGCTGTCTTTGACATCCTGCTTCAATTCTCTGGTCTCTTTCCATCAAGGTATCATTACGTACATGTTCACTTAGACAGGCAACAACGTCATATCTAGGTAAACAAAAACAAAAACAAGTACAGACAACACAAGTAACCTGCTAGAGAGGGTTAGGGTTAGGATTACGGTTACAACACAAGTAACCTGCCACAGACAACCTGCCACAGACAACCTGCCACAGACAACCTGCCACAGACAACCTGCCACTGACAACACAAGTAACCTGCCACAGACAACACAAGTAACCTGCCACAGACAACCTGCCACAGACAACCTGCCACAGACAACCTGCCACAGACAACCTGCCACTGACAACACAAGTAACCTGCCACAGACAACACAAGTAACCTGCCACAGACAACCTGCCACAGACAACCTGCCACAGACAACACAAGTAACCTGCCACAGACAACACAAGTAACCTGCCACAGACAACCTGCCACAGACAACCTGCCACAGACAACACAAGTAACCTGCCACAGACAACCTGCCACAGACAACCTGCCACAGACAACACAAGTAACCTGCCACAGACAACACAAGTAACCTGCCACAGACAACCTGCCACAGACAACCTGCCACAGACAACACAAGTAACCTGCCACAGACAACCTGCCACAGACAACCTGCCACAGACAACACAAGTAACCTGCCACAGACAACCTGCCACAGACAACCTGCCACAGACAACCTGCCACAGACAACACAAGTAACCTGCCACAGACAACCTGCCACAGACAACCTGCCACAGACAACACAAGTAACCTGCCACAGACAACCTGCCACAGACAACACAAGTCACCTGCCACAGACAACACAAGTAACCTGCCACAGACAACCTGCCACAGACAACCTGCCACAGACAACACAAGTAACCTGTCACAGACAACCTGCCACAGACAACCTGCCACAGACAACACAAGTAACCTGCCACAGACAACACAAGTAACCTGCCACAGACAACCTGCCTCGGACAACCTGCCACAGACAACCTGCCACAGACAACCTGTCACAGACAACACAAGTAACCTGTGCCACTCACTTAGTTTTCCTGTTGGAGCAGAATGTTGCTACAGAGAATTGACAAGCCTCACGAAACTTGTGGTTAAATCTGAAGTCTTTCATAGAGATCTGAAACATTGATCTTTCATAGAGATCTGAAACATTGATCTTTCATAGAGATCTGAAACATTGATCTTTCATAGAGATCTGAAACATTGATCTTTCATAGAGATCTGAAACATTGATCTTTCATAGAGATCTGAAACATTGATCTTTCATAGAGATCTGAAACATTAGGCTTGAGCGGGTGATGAAAACCAAAATAACCAAAACACTTATTTTACTACCTAATGCTTGATTATATTTAGCATACAATTGTAGTTATGCCTCAATCAGTTAAGTCTAAAGTCAACATTTTTTATTTATCGGTTTTCATCACCCGCCCATACCCTAAAAGGGACAAAATTTAAATGTTTGAGGGGGACTTTGAAGGTTGAAAAAATTTCATAAAAAAACGTTTTAATAACAAGCTTTTATGTAAAAGTGCACTAAAAAGTAGAAAATAAATTATAGACTACTATTTAAATAACTAGAAAGAAAAGCGTGGGTCACTTTAGTATGTATTGGATACCTTTACTAATGTTAAGGAAGACACCCACGCTTTTCTTTCTACGTATTTAAATAATAGTCTATAATTTATTTTCTACTTTTTAGTGCACTATTACATAAAAGCTTGTTATTAAAACGTTTATTTATGAATTTTTTTTCAGTACTTTACATGTTTTATTTACAATAGAGTTAAATGACTAAAAACCATTGCGCGCCTACTGAACGTGATTTCGCAGCCATTGAACGTGATGGCGCAGCTATTGAACGTGATGACGCGTGTGGTGTGGTTGGATAAGCATGCCTACTAATTTGGTCCAAATTTTAATTAATTCATAAAAAATTAATTAGGCATCCAATTAAATAAAATTTAATTTCAGATTGCATTGTCTTCATGTCTTGACCAACATGCCAAATGTGAATCGTATCGGTCAAATAGTAGTTTCCGAATTTTCACTCCTGCATTTCGATCTAGACTGACGACAGCTTGACGACTAACGACAGAGGAAGTGAGTTAAATAAAAGCTTGTAAAAATTCATGTTTGAGGGGGACTTTAGAGGGTGAAAATTCATATGTTTGAGGGGTTCTTTAAAAGGCGAAAATTCATATGTTTGAGGGGGACTTTAAAGGGTGAAAATTCATATGTTTGAGGGGTTCTTTAAAAGGCGAAAATTCTAATGTTTGTGGGGGACTTTAAAGGGTGAAAATTCATATGTTTGAGGGGTTCTTTAAAAGGCGAAAATTCATATGTTTGTGGGGGACTTTAAAGGGTGAAAATTCATATGTTTGTGGGGGACTTTAAAGGGTGAAAATTCATATGTTTGTGGGGGACTTTAAAGGGTGAAAATTCATATGTTTGAGGGACTGTGAAGAGATTGATATTTAAATGTTTTAATGACTGGGAAGGGATTGACATATGAAGGATTGTGAAGGGACTGACATTTGAATGATTATAAGGGACTGGTACTTAAATGACTCAGGGATGTGACCAGACCATTTTTTTTCAGACAAGTACTCAATATGTTTTATCTATTTTTTTATCACATTTAAAGCAGTCTCATACGGTTACTGTACTAATTAATTGTTTAATTTAGCAACTATTTTAATTAAAGAAGTTTATGTTACTCTAAAATAACACTGAAAATCTTGAATTTCAATTTAATAAACACATTTTTAAAAAATAGATTATTACAATGTAACAAAAGTGGCAAGTTTTTTTAAACATTAAGCTAATTTAAACTGTACTAATCTAGTCTAGTTCTGCTCTTGTTTTCAATTAAATTATGCTTTATATTTGTTTACAGATTGGCAAGGTAAAACTGTAAAGAATCTGATTTAGATTAATTGTAGTTTGAAAATTTTGGTTCATGTGATGGAAAATAGAGTTGACCAGATTAGCTGAAATTAGAAAAGGTTTGATATTTGAATTAAAATTTACCATTTTGATAGCCAAGCCACATTGTTATTTATGCTTTTGTAATAGCTGTAGATTATTATGGGTCATAACGTCATGCTTATTTTGGATGATTTTTACCTCTACCTCTACTCTTTCACAAAAGCGAGACTCCTCCTAAAATGATGTCACACCTTAGCCAACAATCGTCCCACCTCCTCAATATTAAATTTGAATTTTTTTTAAACGCTGATTTTTTTTTAAAGATATTGACTGAGCTTGACCAACATAGGGTACTTTAATCAACGAGCAGACACGCGGCATATTATACACAGCTATAATCGTTTTATTTTCTATTTTCTGTGACGACAGTTTACAGCTGACAAGGAAAAGATCAAGCAAAACTTGTTCCCTTCCCTTAGTTTCAAATCGTTTAAAAATTAAATTATCTGCCCCTAATAGCAGTCACTGATTCGCCCTGGCTCTAAGATTGTAAACATTTGGGGAGAACCACAGCTCACCAGACTGGTGGGGGTGGGGGCGATATGGTCTGTTGAGCATGCCTGGGGAGCGAGGGAGGGGGCAGGAGGAGGGTTAGATAGTCGGCTTGCCTTGTGGTCGCTTTTTGTAATGATTTCACTAGTAATTTGAGGTTGCTAAATAAAATTGAAGCAGAGATGTGCGTTCTGAAAAATTCAGAAATTTGCTGAAATTGTGAATCTCAAACTAGATTTACATTGAATCTTAATCTAATACTGTAAGACCTAGCTCAATCATCCAAGGGAAAAGAAATATGTGTTTTCAATTGCCCGTTTTATCTAAGTACTGAAATACTTGATTTAAAAAGGAATACGCATGTGAGCTGTTTCCTTAGAGTTAGAGGTCATTTTCCTAATTTTTAAAACTTCGTAAAAAAATTGGCAATAATAAAAAATCAGAGGGAAAATTTGGAGAAAATGAAATCGCTAAAGGAAAGTTGCAGCTGAAACGGAAAAATCTGATTTCATTTAAAGTCAGATCCGTGATGACTGTGAAGGGACTGATACTTACAATCTGATGATGTTCTATCCCAGCAGCACACTTGTCATTCATGTCAACCACATTCTTATGTTCAATTAGACAATCTAGCACATCACTTGGAACTGCATCACTGTTGAGTAGGTCCTGAGAAATAAAAACTTGGAGCTGTTAAGTAGGTCATGGAGGTCCCAATGATTGCACTGCTTAGATTATAAAAAGAGCACAGTTTAGAAAATAGAAAGACCAAGATAGTTATGAAAACTAAAAAGACCAACACTGCAGAATTTTTTGATCATAGGTGTGCAGGCTTTCATGAGTATCCTGTCCAGCTCAATGTCCTCCATTTCCTCCTCTGTGTAGTTGCCCACAGCAGACTTACACGCCTCTCCCAGATCTTCATAAGCTTCCTGTAGGCAAGTCATCTCCTGGAAAGACAAAGAGTTGGCATGGAGGCCATCGCTAAAGTCTTCAAACAACAACAGGAATCTTACCTAATGGCAGAGCTTTCTATTTACCCCATTTTTTTCATGGTGTTCACTCTCTGAGCAAAACTCAGACAACTCTTTTATGCAGGCAGTTTCTATTTCTGGGAGAAGATGGATTCTGTCTGCACGTTCTCTCATGACACGCTTCACTTCATGGACACAAGCACGAGAAGGCTGAAACAGAACAGGGGAGAGACTTAAACACAGCCGGGGAGAGACTTAAACACAGCCGGGAAGAGACATAAAAACAGCCGGGGAGAGACTTAAACACAGCCGGGGAGAGTCTTAAACACAGCCGGGAAGAGACATAAAAACAGCCGGGGAGAGACTTAAACACAGCCGGGGAGAGTCTTAAACACAGCCGGGGAGAGACTTAAACACAGCCGGGGAGAGACTTAAACACAGCCGGGAAGAGACATAAAAACAGCCGGGGAGAGACTTAAACACAGCCGGGGAGAGTCTTAAACACAGCCGGGGAGAGACTTAAACACAGCCGGGGAGAGACTTAAACACAGCCGGGGAGAGTCTTAAACACAGCCGGGGAGAGACTTAAACACAGCCGGGGAGAGACTTAAACACAGCTGGGGAGAGTCTTAAACACAGCCGGGGAGAGACTTAAACACAGCCAGGGAGAGACTTAAACACAGCCGGGGAGAGACTTAAACACAGCCGGGGAGAGACTTAAACACAGCCGGGGAGAGTCTTAAACACAGCCGGGGAAAGATGGAACACAGCCGGGGAAAGATGGAACACAGCCGGTGAAAGATGGAACACAGCCGGTGAAAGATGGAACACAGCCGGTGAAAGATGGAACACAGCCAGGGAGAAAATAGAACAGCCGGGGAAAGATGGAACACAGCCGGGGAAAGATGGAACACAGCCGGTGAAAGATGGAACACAGCCGGGGAGAAAATAGAACACAGCCGAGGAAAGATGGAACACAGCCAGGGAAAGATGGAACACAGCCGGGGAAAGATGAAACACAGCCGGTGAAAGATGGAACACAGCCAGGGAGAAAATAGAACACAGCCGAGGAAAGATGGAACACAGCCGGGGAGAAAATAGAACACAGCCGAGGAAAGATGGAACACAGCCGGGGAAAGATGGAACACAGCCGGGGAAAGATGGAACACAGCCGGTGAAAGATGGAACACAGCCAGGGAGAAAATAGAACAGCCGGGGAAAGATGGAACACAGCCGGGGAAAGATGGAACACAGCCGGTGAAAGATGGAACACAGCCGGGGAGAAAATAGAACACAGCCGAGGAAAGATGGAACACAGCCAGGGAAAGATGGAACACAGCCGGGGAAAGATGAAACACAGCCGGTGAAAGATGGAACACAGCCGGTGAAAGATGGAACACAGCCGGGAAAAGATGGAACACAGCTGGGGAAAGATGGAACACAGCCGGGGGAAAGATGGAACACAGCCGGTTAAAGATGGAACACAGCCGGGGAAAGATGGAACACAGCTGGGGAAAGACTGGAACACAGCCGGGGAAAGATGGAACACAGCCGGGGAAAGATGGAACACAGCCGGGGAAAGATGGAACACAGCCGGGGAAAGATGGAACACAGCCGGGGAAAGCTGGAACATAGCCGGGGAGAAAATAGAATACAGCCGGGGAAAGATGGAACACAGCTGGTGAAAGATGGAACACAGCCGGTGAAAGATGGAACACAGCCGGGGAAAGATGGAACACAGCCGGGGAAAGATGGAACACAGCTGGGGAAAGATGGAACACAGCCGGGGAAACATGGAACACAGCCGGGGAAAGATGGAACACAGCCGGGGAAAGATGGAACACAGCCGGGGAAAGCTGGAACATAGCCGGGGAGAAAATAGAACACAGCCGGGGAAAGATGGAACACAGCCGGGGAAAGATGGAACACAGCTGGTGAAAGATGGAACACAGCTGGTGAAAGATGGAACACAGCCGGGGAAAGATGGAACACAGCCGGGGAAAGATGGAACACAGCCGGGGAAAGATGGAACACAGCCGGGGAAAGCTGGAACATAGCCGGGGAGAAAATAGAACACAGCCGGGGAAAGATGGAACACAGCCGGGGAAAGATGGAACACAGCTGGGGAAAGATGGAACACAGCCGGGGAAACATGGAACACAGCCGAGGAAAGCTGGAACATAGCCGGGGAGAAAATAGAACACAGCCGGGGAAAGATGGAACACAGCCGGGGAAAGATGGAACACAGCTGGGGAAAGATGGAACACAGCCGGGGAAACATGGAACACAGCCGGGGAAAGCTGGAACATAGCCGGGGAGAAAATAGAACACAGCCGGGGAAAGCTGGAACACAGCTGGGGAAAGCTGGAACACAGCTGGGGAAAGCTGGAACACAGCCGGGGAAAGCTGGAACATAGCCGGGGAGAAAATAGAACACAGCCGGGGAAAGATGGAACACAGCCGGGGAAAGATGGAACACAGCCAGGGAAACATGGAACACAGCCGGGGAAAGCTGGAACATAGCCGGGGAGAAAATAGAACACAGCCGGGGAAAGATGGAACACAGCTGGGGAAAGCTGGAACACAGCTGGGGAAAGATGGAACACAGCTGGGGAAAGACTGGAATGTTTAGACCTACAGACTCCTGTAATGTTAGGACTGCTTTGACAGGAATATACTGACGTTGTAAATGAGATTAGCGGTCAGTTAGGCATTGGTCAAGAATGAACTTTTTTTTACCTTGGAATCTTGTGGATGGTTAGAGCGCATGTGGCGATGGAGGCAGGAGAAGATGAGAGAGCCTTGTTCAGGCTCCATAGTTTTAGGGTCTGTAAATCCATTGGAGTGGCACAGAGTTAGGGCATCTTTCTGACAATGCTTAAATAAATGAGCATCTAATCTGAAAGAGAAATATCAGGTTTAACGTCATATGACAGACTGTAAACAGACATTAATGTTTGACACCGTTCATCCGAGTGCCATGAAACTTTGGGGAGATGATGAGAACACCCCAGGGAGGTTTTTACGCAAAAAGAATTTTCAAATTCTCATGGGTGGCGGCCCAGCAGGGCGTGATTTGTTTTTTCTCTGTATATGGTATATGAAAATAAAAGTCGGTCGTGGTTTGACACCGTTCATGAGATTGCCATCAAACTTTGGGGACTTGATTAGAACTCTCCGGGGGAGCTTCCTGTAAAAAAATCTTTTTTTTTTTTCGCTAGGGCTGCGCCCTGGAAGGGTACGATTCTTCTCTATATACGGTATGAAAGTCGGATGCGGTTTGATAACGTTTATCCAAGCGCCATATAACTTTGGGGAGCTGATAAGAACACTCCGAGAAGGTTTCTGGGGGATGGGGGAAATTTACTTTCGCACTGGAGGGAGGAGATAGACTATGCATCAGATTGGGTTTTAGAGTCGTTCGCCAAACATAATCAGGCACGTCCACCGGCGCCCCAGCAGGGTGCGATTTGGTGCCCCAGCAGGGTGCGATTTGGTGCCCCAGCAGGGTGCAATTTGGTGCCCCAGCAGGGTGCGATTTGGCGCCCCGGCCTTTTTGGTAGTGTAGCAAACCCTTGCCCTGATAAATATAATCCAAGCGCAGGCATTGTTTACATTTAAATAATTCAGTTTTAGAAAACAAGTTCACGCGCCTAAGAATATAGGATTGGTAAATCATTGATGAAACCCTCTTAATATATTACGTCGGATTGTATTTGTCTTTTATGCATTGCTAAATCTTTCATCTGATCGCCATGGAACTTTGGGAAGTTGTTGAGAATACTCCTGGGAAGGTTTCTGTGAATTTTTTTTTTCAAATTTGCATGAGCGGCACCCCGCCGGGGTGTGATTAGGCGCTCCGGATTATCCCCAGAACACTATGGCACCTAGGTTAGTTTTAAACAGACTATGAATAAGATGGGGCGTTTAGTCTTTCACTAAATTGAATCAGATGCTATCCCGTTAGCACTACGATGCAATCGTTTGCTTTAAAGAGTGTGATACAATATGGATAAGAAGTAGAATTATAGTCATTCACAAAACTGAATCAGGCACGTTCGACTGCGTCCCGTCAGGGAACCATTTGCCCCGGGCTATCCTGGGACTTTTTTTTACCCTGTGGCACGCTAGTAAAGAATAAGGATAGGGTGAAGTTTAAGGATAAGCATAGGATTTTGGTGAGGATCAAGACTAGGGATTAGCAGATGGCTATGGGTAAAGACAGGGATAGATATTATATGTATTCTTAAGTGGGTTAATTATGCAGGGTGTAAATGACAGTAGGTAATTTAGCTTAAGGCTAATGACTGGGTAAGCGGTGTGTGGTGGTAACTTTATAGACCCAGGTAAAACATGTCACTTTTTGCTTCAAATTTACCTTGAATTTAACTTGTGTACTTATTTATAAAATTCCTAAGACTTTTACTTAGGTTTAAATATTATTGGCAATCCTGTATTGAACAGATAATGGGTAATGGTGGATTCTATTTTTATAGTTGATGTAGAGTATGTTCAGTGTCCAACGCTCTGTTACACTTTCTTCTTTTGTCATAATTTTGTTTTGTTTCTGTCAATAATAGGATTTGCGATGACAGTGTAAAAAGTTATATACACTCACATGGTAATATTCTAATCATTTCATTTTGGATATTTTAATTATTGTATTACATGGTGAAGTTGTTCACTAGGGGAGGGAAAGAAGGAACAAGCTGTTTTGTATCTAAAGATTTGATGCTGATGATTGTTTGTGTAACCAACAGTTTTATCAAGGAATGGCAGGTGATGTCAAAGTTACACTTGGTTTCATTTTTCTAATTTTTTTGCCAAATTTAAACAGACATACATGTTTAAGTTCTCATTTACATTTAGTCATGGCTATTAATAGCTGAAACAAATCCTAGTTGATAATGGCTAGTTTTAAATAAAATTGACAATGATTTCATTATTTTTCAAGACATTTGATTCAATACACAAACCTGTTGCAGATTTACTATCTTTGCTACTATCTTCAAACAAAAATTTAGATTTAAAGGATTGTGCATATAACAAAATTAGAATATTTTTAGACCCATCTCTACCACATGCATTTTTCAGAGTATAAAGGAAAGATTGTAATCGTGGTGAAAAATAAAAAAAACTGATATTTTTACAGTTTTTGCTGTTTTACATCTCCCTACTTAATGGTATTTGGAATTGAAAAGATGTATTGTAATGTTGCAGAAATCTAACTAGAGATTTTGATCAAGTGTGATGTTTTACAACCTGCTGGCCACTGAAAAAACTTTGCAATCCTGTCCATGTGTGTGTGTGTTTGTATGTAAACATTATAACTTGAGTAGGCCTACCATTTCAGTTAGGTTAAGGGTCGGCGAGTTCGAGTCGGTAAAGCTCATGGTTGCTAAACCGAAAAGTCTTGAGTTCGAACCCTCGGGCTCAATAGCCTCAATGAGGCTCAATAGCTGGGGACAGCCACTCTTCTAGGAGAGACAACTCCAAAATTAAACAACTGCTGCCTTGTAGTTTGTTCTTGGTTGGACAAAGGCTATGGAAGCAAATCCAAAAAAGAAAAGCAGGCTGAAATCGGAGTCAATGGCCTCAAAAGGCGCATAACCAGTTGACACGTAACGCTTAATTGTGTTGTAGGCGTGGTCGAGTCGGCAAAAAGCTCATGGTTGATAAATTCGAGTTCAAACCCACTGGCAGATAAATCTCGATCCCCTTCAACACTAATAATTAAGAACGAAGAAGAAGAAAAAGAAGTTAGGTTAAGAAAATTTCATGTATACAATTTTTTGCCTTCTACCAACTTTTGAAGTGATACTAACGCCACTTTCGGTTTCTTAAAAGTTTTATAACTTGAGTACTGTGTAGTAAGGTGGACCAAACTTCAAGTATAAGTATTGGATGGTGTGCCAAGGTTTCTGTCAATTTCAAATGATTTCCTGTGGCAACACAAGAACTTGAATACTGGTTCAGTTAGGTACATGACATTTCATAAATAAGTTTAAGATCTTATAGTTTTATTACTCTCAAATTTTTGAGTGACCTCCGATATTTTGTTCTATTTCTGGTTTCTTAAATACCTGTTATAAAAGAACCATTTCAGTTTGGTAAAGTAGATTTTGTGGTTTTGTTGGAAAACATTAACCACATTAATACAATATTTAACTTGTAATTCTCAATTTATAGCCTGCTCCACTTTACCAAGCGTATCAGACAAATAAATTACAAATAACAATTGCTAAATATAAAATAAGCATTCATCTTTTTCAATTATTAAAGTGTCAAAGCAGATTTTGCAAAATAAAACTGGCTAAACACATAATTTCACCAAAAAAATTATGACACCTAGTCTTACTTGGCAGACATGATAACCAATGCAACGCTAAAACAGTAGGTAGTGCAATAGGCTGTTATTGTAGTTTTTATTTACATTGGACAATACAAATGTGCAAGAAATTTGTTGCATGAATGACAGGAAGAAAATATATGCTGATTTTTCACACATCTCAATGGCTAATAGTTGACTGAAGAAGAAAAGGTTGACAGTTCATGACTCAAGTCAAAGGCTTACCTAAAATCTCTGACAGCAAAGTATTGAATTTCTAGCAGACGTTCCTCACACTCGTCAGTCATGTCCTCATGGTCGATGTTCTCTAGCAGACAGGTGATGACACTGTTCAAATAATCACAAGCAGGTATCACACTCTTCAAATCATTTCAACCACCTGTACCACCACACTACCACCTGTACCACCACACTACCACCTGTAGGACCACTCTACCACCACCTGTAGGACCACTCTACCACCTGTAGTACCACCTGTATCACCACACTACCACCTGTACCACCACACTACCACCTGTACCACCACACTACCACCTGTAGGACCACTCTACCACCTGTATCACCACACTACCACCTGTAGGACCACTCTACCACCTGTAGGACCACTCTACCACCTGTATCACCACACTACCACCTGTAGGACCACTCTACCACCTGTAGGACCACTCTACCACCTGTATCACCACACTACCACCTGTATCACCACACTACCACCTGTATCACCACACTACCACCTGTAGGACCACTCTACCACCTGTAGGACCACTCTACCACCTGTATCACCACCTGTATCACCACACTACCACCTGTACCACCACACTACCACCTGTACCACCACACTACCACCTGTAGGACCACTCTACCACCTGTATCACCACACTACCACCTGTAGGACCACTCTACCACCACCTGTATCACCACTCTACCACCTGTAGGACCACTCTACCACCACCTGTATCACCACTCTACCACCTGTATCACCACACTACCACCTGTAGGACCACTCTACCACCTGTAGGACCACTCTACCACCTGTATCACCACACTACCACCTGTATCACCACACTACCACCTGTATCACCACACTACCACCTGTAGGACCACTCTACCACCACCTGTATCACCACTCTACCACCTGTAGGACCACTCTACCACCACTTGTAGGACCACTCTACCACCACCTGTAGGACCACTCTACCACCTGTAGGACCACTCTACCACCACTTGTAGTACCACTCTACCACCACCTGTATCACCACTCTACCACCTGTAGGACCACTCTACCACCACTTGTAGGACCACTCTACCACCACCTGTAGGACCACTCTACCACCTGTAGGACCACTCTACCACCACTTGTAGGACCACTCTACCACCACCTGTAGGACCACTCTACCACCTGTAGGACCACTCTACCACCTGTAGGACCACTCTACCACCTGTAGGACCACCCTACCACCACTTGTAGGACCACTCTACCATCACCTGTAGGACCACCCTACCACCACCTGTAGGACCACTCTACCACCACCTGTAGGACCACCCTACCACCACCTGTAGGACCACTCTACCACCACCTGTAGGACCACTCTACCACCACCTGTAGGACCACTTACTCTCCCTGTCCTGCCTGACGGTCTTTACAAGCTTTGACCACAACATCACCGCAGGCATGTTGCAGTGGACGGTCAAGTCGAATGTCCTCCCCTGGGTTAGCCACATGAAGAAGGGCCCCAATCTGGGGATAAGACATCAGTTACGGGTCATTTTGGGGTCAGATCAGAATAGATTAGAATAGTCTAGAACAGGGGTTCCCAACTCTGTGCCCGCGGGCGCCATGGCGCCCTCTGAACGATTCGTATGTGCCCGCCTCTCACTATTCGACAGAGACAGAATTTTTTTCATAAACATTATTTTAAATTATTTTAAAATATGATTTATTTTTATTCATTTCTTACAGTTTTAATTTTTGTTTGACTGCCTAAGTTTATTAAATAAGTTTGATACTTGTCCCAACTTGTCTAGCGGCGAGCCAGACTGCACTATTTATGCTAGCCTAGAACGGCTAGTGCCATTTGAATCATTTTTCGGTTCGACATATTTATGCGAATCATTGTTTTCAAACATGACCTTAATAAAATCAAGATATAGATCTCGACTCAACGATGAGCATCTTTATTGTCTGCTAACAAGATTATCGTCATACGCTCCTAATTATGAAGCTCTGGCCAGTGAAATGCAATGCCAAAGATCACATTGACTTTATTATATTTTTTAATTAAACGTTTTCTTTGTATTAATGTGTTTTGTTTACTTTCTTTACGTTTTGTAAATACCTTTCTTTGTGTGTATGCCAAATAATTTTATTATTTTGAAACATTTTTGTTTATTATTTATTAATACATTATGACTCTAAGAAAATAAAGTATGGGAAAATGACAAGTTATGGAAGGAGTTTGTCGATTTAAAATAGGTGGTGCCCGCCACCCTACCGATATTTTAGAGAAAAAAAAGGTTGGGAACCCCTGGTCTAGAACTTAGGGGAGAGAGCCTGTGTCAGTTGAGTTTACCCTGGTGTTTATGTATTGTTATCCCAAGGTCGAGTGCGGTATAAAAGCTGGAGAGAATGATTGAAAGAGGCTTTTGATTGGTAGTGGCTAGGGTCGAGGGCTCGTTGGTAGTGGCTAGGGTCGAGGGCTCGTTGGTAGCTGCTAGAGTCGAGGGCACGTTGGTAGCGGCTAGAGTCGAGGGCACGTTGGTAGCGGCTAGAGTCGAGGGCACGTTGGTAGCGGCTAGAGTCGAGGGCACGTTGGTAGCGGCTAGAGTCGAGGGCACGTTGGTAGCGGCTAGAGCTTGTGGTGTAATGATGGAGATAAAAAGTGAAATTCTATGGTAACCAGCACTACACACCAATCAATAGACCAATACCTATAAATGACCAGTACACACCAATCAATATACCAATAAATGACCGCTACACACCAATCAATATACCAATAAATGACCACTACACACCAATCAATATACCAATAAATGACCACTACACACCAATCAATATACCAATAAATGACCACAACACACCAATCAATATACCAATAAATGACAACAACACACCAATCAATATACCAATAAATGACCACTACACACCAATCAATATACCAATAAATGACCACTACACACCAATCAATATACCAATAAATGACCACTACACACCAATCAATATACCAATAAATGACCACTACACACCAATCAATATACCAATAAATGACCACTACACACCAATCAATATACCAATAAATGACCGCTACACACCAATCAATATACCAATAAATGACCACTACACACTAATCAATATACCAATAAATGACCACTACACACCAATCAATAGACCAATAAATGACCGCTACACACCAATCAATATACCAATAAATGACCAGTACACACCAATCAATATACCAATAAATGACCGCTACACACCAATCAATATACAAATAAATGCCCAGTACACACCAATCAATATACCAATAAATGACCACAACACACCAATCAATATACCAATAAATGACCGCTACACACCAATCAATATACCAATAAATGACCAGTACACACGGAGCACATGACCTACCTGTGCAGAGCACTGAGAACTGACTTGAATATTTAAGTTGTGTTTAGCTGCCAAGGTGGCCCTCATAAGGCAGGTGATGGTGTTACCTCCTGGCTCCAGATTCTTACAGAGGCTCTCAATCTCAGTCTGACAGGCACTGACCAGCTCCGGACTTATCTTGTAATCATTCATCAGCTCTGATCTCAACTCCAGCATCTCTTGGAGACATTCTGGCTTCATGAGTTTACCTTCAAGTGGGTCAACATTCTTTCAATAATCTATCCACAAGTTAGAGGCAGATCATATGGACATACAAACACACAGATAATGTGGACATACAAACACACAGATCATGTGGACATACAAACACACAGATCATATGGACATACAAACACACAGATCATATGGACATACAAACACACAGATCATATGGACATACACACAGATCATATGGACAAACACACAGATCATATGGACATACAAACACACAGATCATATGGACATACAAACACACAGATCATATGGACATACAAACACACAGATCATATGGACATACAAACACACAGATCATATGGACATACAAACACACAGATCATATGGACATACAAACACACAGATCATATGGACATACAAACACACAGATCATATGGACATACATACACACAGATTGTGTACACACACACACAGATTGTGTACACACACAGATTGCGAACACACAAACACACAGATTGTGTACACACAAACACACAGATTGTGTACATGCAAACACACAGATTGTGTACACACACAGATTGTGTACACACACAGATTGTGTACACACAAACACACAGATTGTGAACACACACACAGATTGTGTACACACACAGATTGTGTACACACACACACAGATTATGAACACACAAACACACATATTGTGGTGACACAAACACACATATTGTGGTGACACAAACACACAGATTGTGTACACACAAACACACAGATTGTGTACACACAAACACACAGATTGTGTACACACAAACACACAGATTGTGTACACACACAGATTGTGTAAACACAAACACACAGATTGTGTACACACACAGATTGTGTAAACACAAACACACAGATTGTGTACACACACAGATTGTGTAAACACAAACACACAGATTGTGTACACACAAACACACAGATTGTGTACACACAAACACACAGATTGTGTACACACAAGCTGTATGTGTACACACATACCTAGACTTTGAGCTTTCTCCAAACAGAGTAAAACAGTGGATCTCTGCAGGTCATTGACCTCATTGATCAAGTGGCATTTGTTTTCTTCTATCTCACTGGCACAGGCTGAATAAAAGGAGCGGTCAACTTTGACATCTTCTGCCACAAGTCTCTGCCTGGCCTCCAGCTTCTCCCTGCACTGAAACACATCCAGGGTCAAAGGTCAGACAGTCTTACATGGAGCCTGTAGACATGTGAGAGTGAACAAAAATAAGCTTACCTCAACAGATAAAGACTTTTCTCCCAAATGTTTGTAAAGGCATTTAAAAACTGCCCCATTTCCTGCCACGGTGTCGTGGCAGAAGCTCTCACGATCTCCGCGACATGCATAGAAGAGTGGCCGGTCGAGGTGGAAGTCATCAGACTGCAGCTCTGCCACCCTCAGCAGGGCTTTCTTACAGCCTGCAGACAGGAGTTTTCTCTGCTCATTCAGACAACTGACAGTCTTGCCTTGGGAGTGAGGGGTCTGTGGGGGAGGAAGAAATCTTCAGTTTACAGCACAACTAGAACAATGCCAACCCCCCTCATGTTAATGTAGAGCTTTATCCCCACTACAATAGATGTACAACATTACCCCCCCCCCCCCAATACAATAGATGTACAATATTACCCCCCCCCCTCACTACAATAGATGTACAACATTACCCCCCCCCCCAATACAATAGATGTACAATATTACCCCCAACTACAATAATACCTGTACAACATTAACCCCTCCCCCCCCCCCACTACAAAACTGACCACAATATTACCTGTACAACATTAACCCCCCCACTACAAAACTGACCACAATATTACCTGTACAACATTAACCCCCCCACTACAAAACTGACCACAATATTACCTGTACAACATTAACCGCCCCCCCCCCCCCCACTACAAAACTGACCACAATATTACCTGTCCCTCATTTAAGCGGCCACATTTTGTCACTTGGATGTCATTTTGACAGTCATGTATAAAGAAGTCCATGAACCTGTAGTCACTGAAGATAATGGCTGCCATTTTGTTGAGAAAAGTTTTGCACGTGGGAAAGTTAATTTGCTCATAGTGCTCTATCAGACAAGGGATTATCTTCCCTTCACCTTTATTAAACTTTTTACATTCAGTCACCTGGGGAACCAACAAAATGTTTTACATTCAGTCACCTGGGGAACCAACAAAATGTTTTACATTCAGTCACCTGGGGAACCAACAAAATGTTTTACATTCAGTCACCTGGGGAACCAACAAAATGTTTTACATTCAGTCACCTGGGGAACCAACAAAATGTTTTACAGTTAGTCACCTGGGGAACCAACAAAATTCAGTCATGACTACATTCATCACAACATAAACAATTCCCAGAATCTACACCACCCACATCCCAAACCAAACCACATCATACCACCTACCACAACACCATAACCCACACCACATAATCAATTTAACACAACTCACATACATCATTCTACTATAGTACTAATGCCATTCTCCACATCATATTACTCGTCATACACACCACAGCCCCACAACACTTCATCATACACAACACAGCCCCACACCACTTCATCATACACAACACAGCCCCACAACACTTCATCATACACAACACAGCCCCACACCACTTCATCATACACAACACAGCCCCACACCACTTCATCATACACAACACAGCCCCACAACACTTCATCATACACAACACAGCCCCACACCACTTCATCATACACAACACAGCCCCACAACACTTCATCATACACAACACAGCCCCACAACACTTCATCATACACAACACAGCCCCACAACACTTCATCATACACAACACAGCCCCACAACACTTCATCATACACAACACAGCCCCACAACACTTCATCATACACAACACAGCCCCACAACACTTCATCATACACAACACAGCCCCACAACACTTCATCATACACAACACAGCCCCACAACACTTCATCATACACAACACAGCCCCACAACACTTCATCATACACAACACAGCCCCACAACACTTCATCATACACAACACAGCCCCACAACACTTCATCATACACAACACAGCCCCACAACACTTCATCATACACAACACAGCCCCACACCACTTCATCATACACAACACAGCCCCACACCACTTCATCATACACAACACAGCCCCACACCACTTCATCATACACAACACAGCCCCACACCACTTCATCATACACAACACAGCCCCACACCACTTCATCATACACAACACAGCCCCACACCACTTCATCATGCGTACCACAGCCCAACAACACTTCATCACATTTAAGGACAGACTTTGTTCAGATGAAGACAGACACTGTACTGAAGTATTAAAGAAAAATCTTACATTAGTAAGAGCTGAGTTGCAGGCCTCATCTGATGCTTGGTCAAAGCGAATGTCTTTGGACAAGTTCATTTTAAAGTTCCACAAATACTGGGAAATACAAAGGTCAAGTTCATTTTAAAGTTCCACAAATACTGGGAAATACAAAGGTCAAGTTCATTTTAAAGTTCCACAAATACTGGGAAATACAAAGGTCAAGTTCATTTTAAAGTTCCACAAATACTGGGAAATACAAAGGTCAAGTTCATTTTAAAGTTCCACAAATACTGGGAAATACAAAGGTCAAGTTCATTTTAAAGTTCCACAAATACTGGGAAATACAAAGGTCAAGTTCATTTTAAAGTTCCACAAATACTGGGAAATACAAAGGTCAAGTTCATGCATTATATTTTGTGATCATTTGACTGACATTTTGTGACAGCAAAGTTAAACTGTCATATAACTGATATGATTACTTCCTGATGTAAATGATTACATTCTGACTTACATGATTACATTCTGTAGAGAGGCTCTCTGCAGTCTGAAAGCAAAAGAAGGTATCATCATTACATAACATAGATGACATCATTACATGACATAGATGAAATACATAATGATATCACTACTTTAAATGGTATCTCAGGGTATAGAAAGGGTACGAATGATGTAGAATAAATATCCTAATATATAAAAGCCCATGTGCGCACTTCTCTCTCTCTCTCTCTCTCTCTCTGTCCGCAAAATATTTTCGCAGGGTATTACATCAGAATCAATAGCGATACAGGGAGAACTTGATACTGACTTTTGTTGAAAATAATATGGTAGATGTTTTAAATGTATAACCAACATTTTATTTAATGAAGAAAAATAAAAAATAAAGGCGTATTCGAATGTGGAAAAACAGTTTTAATTATACAACAGGAAAAGCATTTATAGTTGTGAAAAAGAACCCATGAAACAATGACGTCACTAATGTTTATACATTAACTAATGACGTCGTCTGCCGAGTTTAGAATAGAAAGAAATGAACTATTTCATTCAAATTTGATTAAGACCTAGATCTACGTACGCTATAAAATTTATACAATACAATTTTTCTGGCCTAAACTTATAAAATTTATTTTATCTATTTGGATTCTAGATCTAGACTAGATCTAAATCTACACAAAAACTAGACAGACGCTAAGTCGATAAGAGCTAGATTTAGACTCTATCTACTCTAGAATCTATTCCAAAAATAAATTTCTATATTAAACTATTTCAGGCCTTAATTATTTTATAGAAATCTTTGTTTGTTTAGCTATGGAACTGGCTAATTTGGGATAAAAAAATTAATTTGAAAGAATAGGCATATTCGCGTAAGTTTAACTTTTTTAATAGGTCTTTCATTCTCTGTGTTTTATAAGGTGCCTAAATGACTGAGATGATAGTGTACTTAATACTACGCAGGTGGTGTGGGATCGAGACACACCAAGCAAAACTTATTTTTTAATTTTTTTTTATATGTACATTTTCCGATTTTAGACTATAAAGAAAGGAACTACTTCATTCAAATTTGATTTAGATCTAGATCTATAGATCTACTCATCAAGACGTATTTTATCTGTCAAACTAATACAAATTACTTAAAAACAACCTAATGACCATTGAATAGCCAGATTTTTAACGAAATCATCTAAGTCACTTAATCAGTGTGTGCCAGTGGCCTAGCTACCGTAAAGCAAGGCATAGGGGCCCAAGGCATTTAGGGCCTTTTTCCCTCTTTAAAAAATGTCTGACTTTTAAATTGGAATTTTAATATTTGTTTTACATAATTTTAAAAAGAAAATGAAAATTCAGTTTCTTTTCTATTGTAGAAATCATTTACATTTCCAAAAAGGACCCCAGTCCTTTCTTATTTAACAAATAGTGGGGGTCGGGACGGTGGAACAGGGCCCATCCGCAGTAATATCACTAAAAATAAACTTTGACTCTTTTGTGAGATGGGCATCCAGCACCCGTAAATTTCAATGAACTTATTCATCATTTTACTACATTAAAAGCATGAAAGAAAAATCTAAATAAATCATGAGCAGTTTTTAAAAAATGTGTTTGGTTAGTGGCGTCACAGTCGGGTGTTACCCTCTGCGTTTACTAAAGGTGTCAACCCATAGTCCCCAACAACTTTGTGTTTACTAAAGGTGTCAACCCATAGTCCCCAACAACTTTGTGTTTACTAAAGGTGTCAACCCATAGTACCCAACAACTTTGTGTTTACTAAAGGTGTCAACCCATAGTCCCCAACAACTTTGTGTTTACTAAAGGTGTCAACCCATAGTCCCCAACAACTTTGTGTTTACTAAAGGTGTCAACCCATAGTCCCCAACAACTTTGTGTTTACTAAAGGTGTCAACCCATAGTCCCCAACAACTTTGTGTTTACTAAAGGTGTCAACCCATAGTCCCCAACAACTTTGTGTTTACTAAAGGTGTCAACCCATAGTCCCCAACAACTTTGTGTTTACTAAAGGTGTCAACCCATAGTCCCCAACAACTTTGTGTTTACTAAAGGTGTCAACCCATAGTCCCTAACAACTTCCCATTTTCCGTAGTGTGTCACTCCTCTCACTAATCTTTATTATTTTAGCTCGATACAACAAAGCTATGAAAGTAAATTTTACAATGTTTAGTCATGGTGTCACGTCCATATGTTGTCATCCGATGCAGACTGCATCTCTGCCCCCCCGCCCTATGACGCTACTGTGTTTGTTAGCCTGTAACATTTTTACAAAACTACATAATGATATAGTAAATATACACAATCGTGTATAAAATATAAAATGTACAGAATATTTATATTATTTAAAACCCTCCATCATAATTAGCAGTTGATTTCTTCGTTTAACTCCATTGTAGCCTGTTGACTAACGAAGGGGCCCACTGAAAATTTTTGCATAGGGGCCCGAAAATCCTCGCTAAGCCACTGGTGTGTGCCTGTGTTATGTTTTTTAGCTAGTTAGTTATTTCTTTGCTTTGTCACTAATATAGTTCAGCGTGTAGTAAAGCACATTGCGTTTTGACCAATAACTATTTCATAAATTATTTTTCTTAAACAAGTACAACATTTTAAAATTAAAATATATAGGTCTATAATTCACGTGAAACGGGTACCGATGGCTAGTATATATATAATTCTCTTCATGAAGGGACCATGCGATGACCCTCCCATGAAGGGACCATGCGATGACCCTCCCTCTCCCAAGCTCTCCAGGCATGCTCAACAGACCATATCGCTACCACCCACACCAGTCTGGTGAGCTGTGGTTCACGATGAATGTTTACAATCATAGAGCAAGGTCAAATTAGTGACAGCTATTAGGGGCAAATAATTTAGTTTTTAAACGACTTGAAACATCAACTGTAAACTGTCGTCACAGACGGCGTCTTTCAGGGGGGTATAGAGGTAGGTTAGGACAGTCTGTGTGTTGTTGTGTTAGGTTGTGGAGGTAGGTTAGGGCAGTCTGTGTGTTGTTGTGTTAGGGTGTGGAGGTAGGTTAGGGCAGTCTGTGTGTTGTTGTGTTAGGGTGTGGAGGTAGGTTAGGGCAGTCTGTGTGTTGTTGTGTTAGGTTGTGGAGGTAGGTTAGGGCAGTCTGTGTGTTGTTGTGTTAGGTTGTGGAGGTAGGTTAGGGCAGTCTGTGTGTTGTTGTGTTAGGTTGTGGAGGTAGGTTAGGGCAGTCTGTGTGTTGTTGTGTTAGGTTGTGGAGGTAGGTTAGGGCAGTCTGTGTGTTGTTGTGTTAGGTTGTGGAGGTAGGTTAGGGCAGTCTGTGTGTTGTTGTGTTAGGTTGTGGAGGTAGGTTAGGGCAGTCTGTGTGTTGTTGTGTTAGGTTGTGGAGGTAGGTTAGGGCAGTCTGTGTATTGTTGTGTTAGGGTGTGGAGGTATTTATCCCATTCTATTATATGCAGTCTTCATATAGGTAGTGAAAGTCATCTATTTAGTTCAGTCAACATTGTTATGTTCATAAACAATGCAGAAACTTAAGGATTTGGTCATTATTAAATAAAACAGATGACATCATTACATGAAATTGTTAAATGACACAGATGACATCATACCATAACATAGATGTCACTACATGACATAAATGACATTACATAACATAGATGACATTATTAAATGACAGATAACATAATTACATGACATAGATGACATTACATAACTTAGATGACATTACATAACATAGATGACATCATTACATAACACAGATGACATGATTAAATTACAGATGACATCATAACATAACATAGAGATGATTACATAGATGACACCATTTCATTACCATTTATGTATTCATCTTTCTGATATTGTCATACTTTATTGTCATCTGTCTATCATAGATTCTGATCATCACTTAGAATTACCAGTCACCAGATCAAATATTAATCAGACACTTTAATTAAAATATTTAACAAAAAATCAATTCAACAAATAGTATTTTTTTTTAATTATGAAAAAAGACAATCAAGGACCTACCAGTTTAGTGTACACAATCAAGGACCTACCAGCTTAGTGTACACAATCAAGGACCTACCAGTTTAGTGTACACAATCAAGGACCTACCAGTTTAGTGTACACAATCAAGGACCTACCAGTTTAGTGTACACAATCAAGGACCTACCAGTTTAGTGTACACAATCAAGGACCTACCAGCTTAGTGTACACAATCAAGGACCTACCAGCTTAGTGTACACAATCAAGGACCTACCAGTTTAGTGTACACAATCAAGGACCTACCAGTTTAGTGTACACAATCAAGGACCTACCAGTTTAGTGTACACAATCAAGGACCTACCAGTTTAGTGTACACAATCAAGGACCTACCAGCTTAGTGTACACAATCAAGGACCTACCAGTTTAGTGTACACAATCAAGGACCTACCAGTTTAGTGTACACAATCAAGGACCTACCAGTTTAGTGTACACAATCAAGGACCTACCAGTTTAGTGTACACAATCAAGGACCTACCAGTTTAGTGTACACAATCAAGGACCTACCAGTTTAGTGTACACAATCAAGGACCTACCAGCTTAGTGTACACAATCAAGGACCTACCAGCTTAGTGTACACAATCAAGGACCTACCAGTTTAGTGTACACAATCAAGGACCTACCAGTTTAGTGTACACAATCAAGGACCTACCAGTTTAGTGTACACAATCAAGGACCTACCAGTTTAGTGTACACAATCAAGGACCTACCAGTTTAGTGTACACAATCAAGGACCTACCAGTTCACTGTTCTGCAGACAATCCAGGACCATAAAGTTGTTCATGTTGGCCTTGTCTGAACAAAACTTCTTGACATCATCCATACACTCAGCAGCTGAGGCAATCCTGACAGGCTTTGGCTTGACCTTCTCATCCACTGGCACTAACTTTTCCCCTGTACTGCCAACAGGACCGGCTACTGCGCCATTTTGTACAATACACAACACAACTAAGGAGACTGTCCAATACATCCTTCATCAACAACTATTTGACCCAGTGTAATGTGATGGCCTTAGATGGACCTACTGAACAATAGAAATACATTTAGAAATTAATTTCACAACCCAAATATCATAGTCATGACATGTCAAAATTTAATTGTTGACAGCTAGTTATATCATGCAGGATCTTCACAGTATTTGAAGATGGTAACAAGAATTAAATACCTACATAAGCATAGATAGCAACAGAATTTATACAAATCAGCACCTAAATGAGTATACCTACATAAGCATAGATAGCAACAGAATTTATAAAAATCAGCACCTAAATGAGTAAGAGCCATAAACATTTATTTTAAAAAATGCATAAAAACATTTTAATAACATTCTTTTATGTAATAATGCAATGAAAAGGAGAAAATAAATTATTTTCTTTCAAAATATTAGAATAATATACTCTTATTTAAATAACTGAAAATAAAAGCTAGGGTCTCAAAATTAAGTACTCAATACCTTTACAATGCTGTAAGAAGCAACTCACTTTTATTTTTACTGCAGATTGGGGGTAGGATAATAGGTGGGTAATGCCTTAGATGTATACCATCATACAGCCTTAGATGTATACCATCATACAGCCTTAGATGTATACCATCATACAGCCTTAGATGTATACCATCATACAGCCTTAGATGTATACCATCATACAGCCTTAGATGTATACCATCATACAGAATCTTAGACCCGTGCCATCATATGGAATCTTAGACCCGTGCCATCATATGGAATCTTAGACCCGTGGCATCACACAGTCTTAGACCCGTGCCATCATACAGAATCTTAGACCCGTGGCATCACACAGTCTGAGTCTTAGACCCGTGCCATCACACAGTCTTAGACTAGTGCCATCATAGTCTTAGACCCGTGCCATCATACAGAATCTTAGACCCGTGCCATCACACAGTCTTAGACTAGTGCCATCATACAGAATCTTAGACCCGTGCCATCATATGGAATCTTAGACCCGTGCCATCACACAGTCTTAGACTAGTGCCATCATACAGAATCTTAGACCCGTAGCATCATACGGAATCTTAGACCCGTGCCATCATACAGTCTTAGACCCGTGGCATCACACAGTCTTAGACTAGTGCCATCATACATTCTTAGACCCGTGCCATCATACAGAATCTTAGACCCTGCCATCATACAGAATCTTAGACTAGTGCCATCACACAGTCTTAGACTAGTGCCATCATACAGAATCTTAGACCCGTGCCATCATACAGAATCTTAGACCTGTGCCATCATACAGAATCTTAGACTAGTGCCATCATACAGAATCTTAGACCCTGCCATCATACAGAATCTTAGACTAGTGCCATCACACAGTCTTAGACTAGTGCCATCATACAGAATCTTAGACCCGTGCCATCACACAGTCTTAGACTAGTATTAGTAATGCTTACAAATTACATCAGTCACACTAATGTTTATAACACTTCAAACAATTTTTTTTTTACATGTTAAAGAAAAAATCCTGGTGATTTGTGTCACTTTCGAGAATGACGCAATCTGCATTATTGTTTCAGGATGCTATTTGGCACTCTGGGTTATACTATACTGTGAGCACTATGGCATGTACGTTAGTTTTAAGGAGCCAGGGGCCGTACACGGCACCCCTGCGGTAGTGTAATCAGGTTTTCATGCGGTAGTGTAGGTAAACCTGTGTCCCGTAATTTATGATCCAAGTGCAGGCATTGTTCACATTTAAATAATTCCGTCTGAGAAAACAAGGTCACGCATCTAAGAATATAGGATTGGTAACACATTTTTTACTGTAACGCTTTGATGAAACCCATCTTATATATTTTGTCTGACTTTCTTCTATCCCCGCGGCAACAGGCGGGGACCGGCACGCTAGTAGTAAGAAAAATACTAATTTTAAAGGAAATTTTATGTAACTATTTAAAATTTAATTCATCATCCAATTAAGTCAAGAATTATATCAGATTGCATTGTCATTGGGTCTGGACCCACGAATCATGTTTTGGGCAGACAGACAAATTAAATAAAAGCTAATAAAAATAGGACTAGGACACTTTTTCTGATCAGAATTAAATATGTCTGTCTGTTTTATCACACTTAAAGCAGACTCAGGCCATTATTGAATTAATTCATAGTTTAATATTGCTAATATTTTAAATAAAAGCAATGTATGTTACTCTAAAATAAAAATACTGTCTAAATATAATTTTATGTAAATTTTATAAATAACTTTTTAAAATTTAATTTTTACAACTAAATGAAAAAAGAAATTAAATTATATTTTAACATTCAGCTAATTTTAAACTGTAATGATTTTGTTGAGCTATTGTTTTCAATTTTAAATTGTGCCTTTTTTTCATGAATTTTTTTCCCACTCAAAAGAATCTTTTTGTTAGCTGCGTCTTGTTTCTGTAATAGACAATGTGTAGTAAAAAAAATATACTCATTTTAAAACCTTAATGTTGTAGGTAGTAAACAGCTAATTTTTTTTTGCAGAAATGTTAATAACTAAACAGAAGAACTATTTTACCTTTTAAGTTGACCATAAAATATTTTAAAAAAACAGAGGTGCTAAAGTAAGGAAAGGGCTTGGATGAGGAGGAAATTGACAGTTACAACAAATTATAGTTTTAGCAGTGATTTTCATTAATTATAGCCTAATTAATTATTATTCTTTGCATTTTTAGGGCACATGTTTGTATATTTGTAATATTTATAACCGTTTTAAACTATTAAAACTAGGGCTGTCTAACAATATAAATTATGAAAAATTCTGATTTTTATGTAACACATACCATGGGCTACAAGTCAAGGGGGATAATTTACAATATATGTGGTTATGGCCCCTGTGGGACCGCAACTATTGATGTACTTTTCATGCTCTTCTATGAGCAATGTTTCCCCGTGTTCCCATGTCATGTGACCTCTGACTAGGTTATATATAGACCTAATGCTGACATGGGCATAGGTCAAGTAGGTTATATATAGACCTAATGCTGACATGGGCATAGGTCAACTAGGTTATATATATAGACCTAATGCTGACATGGACATAGGTTAACTAGGTTATATATAGACCTAATGCTGACATGGGCATAGGTCAACTAGGTTATATATAGACCTAATAAAGGTATTGTAATTTTATATTAATGGTTTTTTATCATACTAGTGCCGCATGTTGTGGGCTAGGTATGTGAAGTATTTTATTTGTATTACTTGTTTTGTACAATTCCTACGAGTGCCACATGTTGTGGGCTAGGTATGTGAAGTATTTTATTTGTATTACTTGTTTTGTACAATTCCTACGAGTGCCACATGTTGTGGGCTAGGTATGTGAAGTATTTTATTTGTATTACTTGTTTTGTACAATTCCTACGAGTGCCACATGTTGTGGGCTAGGTATGTGAAGTATTTTATTTGTATTACTTGTTTTGTACAATTCCTACTAGTGCTGCATGTTGTGGGCTAGGTATGTGAAGTATTTTATTTGTATTACTTGTTTTGTACAATTCCTACTAGTGCTGCATGTTGCGAGCTAGGTATGTGAAGTATTTTATTTGTATTACTTGTTTTGTACAATTCCTACTAGTGCTGCATGTTGCGGGCTAGGTATGTGAAGTATTTTATTTGTATTACTTGTTTTATACAATTCCTACAAGTGCTACATGTTGCGAGCTAGGTATGTGAAGTATTTTATTTGTATTACTTGTTTTGTACAATTCCTACTAGTGCTGCATGTTGTGGGCTAGTATGTGAAGTATTTTATTTGTATTACTTGTTTTGTACAATTCCTACTAGTGCTGCATGTTGTGGGCTAGTATGTGAAGTATTTTATTTGTATTACTTGTTTTGTACAATTCCTACTAGTGCTGCATGTTGTGGGCTAGGTATGTGAAGTATTTTATTTGTATTACTTGTTTTGTACAATTCCTACTAGTGCTGCATGTTGCGAGCTAGGTATGTGAAGTATTTTATTTGTATTACTTGTTTTGTACAATTCCTACTAGTGCTGCATGTTGTGGGCTAGGTATGTGAAGTATTTTATTTGTATTACTTGTTTTGTACAATTCCTACTAGTGCTGCATGTTGTGGGCTAGGTATGTGAAGTATTTTATTTGTATTACTTGTTTTGTACAATTCCTACTAGTGCTGCATGTTGTGGGCTAGGTATGTGAAGTATTTTATTTGTATTACTTGTTTTGTACAATTCCTACTAGTGCTGCATGTTGTGGGCTAGGTATGTGAAGTATTTTATTTGTATTACTTGTTTTGTACAATTCCTACTAGTGCTGCATGTTGTGGGCTAGGTATGTGAAGTATTTTATTTTCTATTTTATGACACCAGTGTATTTATGTTATAGCCTACACGTGGTGGTGTATTCAGATATGTAACCTATTGTCTGTTTACATTTGTTTTAGGGCTTTATGCTGTGCATGGATTTACTGTGTATAAATATGCTGTTTATGGAGTTGCTGTATAAGAATTTTTCACTGGGCTTGTCATCATGGGACTGGTTTGGGTGCAAGTTCTTGTACTTGGTTTGCAATAAATCATGATCTGACAGCAAGAGTGTCAGCCCTTAAAAAAGCTACACCTCAGTGGGTGATATCACACCACATCCCCATAGAGGCAGTGTCACATTTAATTATGTGCAAAATTATAGCAGAAATAGTGCAAAATACAATTTTTTAAAGATTGTTGTTTTTTTTTGTTTCCTGGTGTTGTCTCCCATTTAAAAATTTTCTGTTGATTGTCCAATTAAAAATATAAAAATTGATTTTACAGCTTCTAATTAAGCTAGGAGTGCAAATGGACTCACCAAGAATACTCTCAAAGTAATTCAAGAGGCCCATTAAAACATTTTTAAAATTATGAATAGTGTAATTAAAATTAATATGGTTATATTTTGTTTTTGTCTGACTTTAAAAAAAAAAGTGGATGCGTTTAACGCTTTAGTATTTTTGTTAATTGAAAACATTTTTAAAAAGGCAAAAGCTATTTGGTTTTCATGTAGTAATGGCTACATAAACAAAGACATCCTGGACAGAGTGGTCTAGTACAGGGGTCGGCAACCTGCAGCTCGCGAGCAGCATGCGGCTCTTTTGATGTCAAGATGCGGCTCTCCTGTTCCATGCACAAATTTTAATGATTATTTTATATTATTTTAAAAACTCATTTTAAATATTGCACAGAAAAATAACTTTAAACAGGATAAAAACACTCATCAGAGAACAATGAGAGAAGGTGAGGTAGAAAGTATACGACAGCTAGTAGCCGCTTGGGCACCAGACACAGCCTCAAAGCCGTGGACAGCACGGTGGCGACGGTTCCATTCTTGCCAAAGATAAACAGCTTCATAAACACGTGTTTTCTTGAGGGGGTGTGACCCGGGTGTGGCACATCGCATTGTAACTTTATATTTCTGTGTTTTATGACTATATTTGTTCACAATCAGCATGCTATGCTTTTAAAATTGATAGAGGGTAAGTATACCAAGTTACAAAACCTGCAATCTAATTAATAATTCATATTTTCAGTTTAAAAAATAAAAACGATCATCAATGAAGAAAGCGTAAAAATTCTATTTTTGGGTATGACAAAAAAACAGTCATAAATCTAGCCAAATGATTGGTTTCTTGCGCGGCACACTTTTTCCCGCGCCTCGTTTTCACCAAAAGAGATTATAATAAAATGGCTTTATTGAGGGGTGATCATTTTCACAGAACTCATCTCCTAAAGACCATAAATTATTACCAGTTTTTTTTATTGCAAGAAAATAGAGCTAGTTTTGCTAAGGCGTCGCTTGCGAGACAAACAAAGAAATTAGGTCAAAAGTAGATCTGACAATTCTTAAAAAACAGACTTAAATAGAAACGGATAGTTCAGATTTATAAAATTAACGATGGCGTCGTAATCGTTAGTTTTATCCCTCTACCAAATAGCGAAAGCGAAACTGGTCGCCATTTTTTAGTAGGTGCATGAGCCGTGAGATGGCTTCAAAACAACAAACCTGAAAGCTGTGAATCGAACGGCCTACACTTTAGTCCTTATTTCGACTTTTTAATTCCATGGGGGGCGCGGGTCACCTACTTTTTGTTAAAGGGGTCGCCACTCAAAAAAAATTTGTGAATCACTGTTCTACATAGATCTAGAAGATCTATAAGTAAGTATACTGGATACGACTCTACAATACTCTACATTCTACATTAATGAAACTAGAAACATTTATGTAACTTTCAAAACATAAATCCTCCTAAAAATGTGAAATATAGAATTTAAGAGTTAACTTATTTTCACATTACTAGTACCTAAAACAATAGGGTAATTTATCGTTTTAGGTACGTAAAATCGCCCGCGACTAGTAATGTGAAAAACAGGTGACTCCTTAAATTTTAATAATTAGTTCACATTTTGAGGAGGATTTATGTTTTGAAAAATACAAAAATGTTTCAAAGTTTCATTTATGTACCTGTTTTCAAACAATTGAATTAAAACTTTTCAGTAATAAATGAACACCAGCGATGTTTCCAACAGATGGAACCTTGCTCATTTACTATAGCAGCCATCTTGTTTAAGTTCTTTCTTTGTTAACTTATAGCGCGAGATTCAGGGGAAGGCAACTCTATTTTACAAATGGCTGCTGTTTATATAAGAAATCTTGCTAGCAAACACTGCTGTTTAAAGTTAATTTCTTGCCCATATTGATATATTTAGCCATTGATTTTGGTTTATTATACAGTTATCTATGATATTTGACACAAATATATCACAATATACTACTATTAAAGCCTTGACAGTGAGGTAACTTTTTCGCACATTTCTAGCCGCGGGCGATTTTACGTACCCAAAACGATAGATTACCAACAATAGGTTACCATTTGGTAAAACCTTAGTTTAGCGTCGGAAATTATCGGGTAATGTTTGTTGAGTTTCGGTAACTAGAGTTACGGTAAACCATGGTTTATTTGACCATTGAAATATAATTAAATTGAAAGTCGATTGTAGTAAATTAATGTTTTAATTTTTTAAGAAAAATCGACAAAAGGAAACAGGAATAAATATAATAGTAGATTTAAATTAGTAGATCTAAAAATTAAAAAAAAACAACATAGGGCCTATATTAATATAAATATAAATAATGAAGTCAAATGTAATAATTTAATGTTTTTGGCTTGCAGCGGATTTGCGACCATTAATTAATTAGATCTAGATCTAGCTACTAGCTAGATATCTAGCTGCTAGGCCAAGTAAAAAAATCTAGATTTTGAAAATAGTAAAAATGATTACAAAATGTAAAAATGATTAGGCCTACAAAAAATAAATCTATCCAAATTTTAAACATTCTGTATAAAAATAAAAGCTGACGCCAAATAAAGTATGGTTTACAGTACTTCCGGTGAATTCCGGAAGTGTGTGACAGACTTTGGCATTGTTTTACTGTTTTTTTACTGCTATACGATTCCGGAATAATAACCGACGCTAAACTAAGGTTTTACCTACCATTTTAATATTTAGGCCCTAATACGCTAATAGTTAGATCTAGGCCAGCTAAGTAGTAAGTAGCTTAGCTACTCAGCTAGATCTAGGCATAATGGTAACTACCCTGCCCTAATCTGCCCAAATAAAAATACTAGACTCTAGATCTAGAATAAAATAATAAATTATTAGGGCCTAAATAAATACGCTAATAAGTTATTAGCCTATTTATTTAGGCCCTAATAATTTATTATTTTATTCTAGATCTAGATTCTACATCTAGATCTAGAATCTAGTAGATCCCTCTAGATATCTATTTTTATTTGGGCAGATAAGGGCAGGAAGGCTATTATATGCCTAGATCTAGCCTACTAATAATAAATAAGCCATAATTTTATTAATTTGGTGAGAAACTATATTAGATTAGTAGAGCTGGTAATCTACCTATTTTACTGTAGAAAGTAGATTTTATATCTTAATTCTAGATCTAATTGCTGAGTTTAACTTTAATATTATTATTGACGTGTTCATCACTACAAACAAACGGATGTAACCACGAATGCATTCCCTTGCATTGGTTGTTATTTTTCAGAAGCCCAAAAATTATTTAAGTACTCTCCCCTGTAATAGGCCAATTTTTAAAAAACAACAAAATCAGATTCATTTTACTTTCTCGTATATATCTACGAAGTATAGAGAAGGTATTGTATTCGTGCAAAATTTTTTTTTTACAAATCTCGACGTTTTACACCTTACTGATACGGAAAAACATAATTTTGCAATCTTGTCCGTATGTCTGTGTGTCTGTGTGTGTGTGTGTCTGTGTGTAAACACGATTACTTGAGTACCGTTACAGTTAGGTTGATGAAATTTCATATATAAATATTTTATCAAAATCGTAGATCCGTATCAACTTTTGAGCGATTTCCGATAACCGGAAGTGGTACTTTTTCTACTGTGAATTTTTCAAAAGCTTATAACTTGAGTACAATTTCAGATAGATAAATGAAATTTCACGTCTAAGTAAAAGATCTAATTCTCTACCTTCTGTCAAATTTTGAGTAATTTCCGTTGACCGGAAGTAGTAATTTTCACTCTTTCCGATTTCTCAAAAAAACGCATGTGAATTTATAAAGTACTAATAATATTCCGCACTATTACACACATGTTTATTCGGCGTTCGCTTGGTGCGCAATTCTTTTTTCTATGAGATTCTATTCTATTTTAAAAAGTTTAAGTATTTAAAATGGATTAAAATTCATGTCTTTATCCCGAGTTCCCATCCTCTGTTGTTTTATATAAGAATATTCGAGAAAGTTTAGGAGAGATCACCCCTGCCCCCCCCCCCCCCCCCCCCATCGCTAATGCCTCTGCAACCAGCTCTAGCATGGGCCAAGTAATTACAACCTTGACCAGAGGATATCATACCTCCAAAAATATGAAGTTCATTTCACTTGTTCAGTTTGTTGTTCAAATGTATGCATCTTGTTCAATCTCAGTTCTATTGATTTGCTCTAAAGGGGTCAAATATAACAAACAGACAAAAGTGTGAATTTAAACCCCCACCTCCCCTATATGGGCCTATAAGATATATATATATATATATATATATATATATATATATATATATATATATATATATATATATATATATATATATATATATATATATACAGAGGCGTAGCGAGGGGGGGGGGGCTGGGCAGGGGTGCGGACCGCACCGGTTGACACCAATTAGGGGGGTGACACCAAGGCAAAAAAAGAAAAATTTATAGAAAAAAATTTGAGGGTGGGTGCAAATCGAAAGTTTGAGGGAGGGGGGTGTAAATTAAAAATTTGAAAGTTTGTCCCCGGGAAGGGTCGCTACGGCTCTGGGGGGTGACACGATTAGGTGCCGCACCGGGTGACACCCGACCTCGCTACGCCACTGTATATATATATATATATATATATATATATATATATATATATATATATATATATATATATATATATATATATATATATATATATATATATATATATATATATATATATATATATATACTAGCTGCATCCCGTGCTCCGCCACGGTAAATCTTTTTTAAATGTACCAATAGAACAAAACTAAACACAAAACAAACGAACTCAAAAAAAAAAAAAAAAAAAAAAAAAAAAACGAAAAAACAAACACAACACTCATAACATAAACACAATTTAAATGCAATCATAAAGGCATATTGCTCACAATCTAACCCGTAGCGCCAAATCGCGCCCTTTCCGGTGATTTGCACCTCCCTCAAACTTTCGATTTGCACCCCTTTCCCCCCCCCCCCCCCGCCCTAAAACTTTCGATTTCCACCAACCCCCCCCCCCCTCGCAAATTTTTTCCAACGGCACCCGGGGACATATGCCCCCCCCCTCGCTACGCCTCTCCTATAAAACCCGAAAGATAGAATAATAATTAGAAAACAGTATAAATAATAGGCAGTATCTATAATATATACAATATTTCACTTTATCCATTCACGCATTTTTTTCCAGTACTTTAAATTTTAAAAATTTACAAAAGAGTTTAATAACTAAAACCATTGCGCACCTAATGAACGTGATGACGCGTCTTTAATAGTGCTGAATAGTTGATTAAAAATTATAAGTAATAAACAGTAGGGCCTACATTCAGTGAATAAAATAAATAAAAGATTGCCTTTTATCAATCCATGCTAATTATAATTTTCTAACAATAATTTCCTCTTACACATCCGAATAATTTGCATTCACATTTTGCTAATTATATTATTGCAACACTAATTCCTTCTATGACGAACGTATATTTGCATTCACATCTTTTATTAGCGTGAGTTTAAATGTATTTTTAAATTACCTCCTTTGTCAAAATTAGAAAAGAGTTAAATTAATTTGATTTTTCTACCGTACTGTTATTATGTTATTAAAATGTATCCACTTTTTCTTGGAGCCTAAACGAAAATGATATTTGACATTAATCTTTTTAATACGTTTTAGCAGTTTGCGTGTATTTAATATTTTCTTGACGTTATGCGAAAGAGTAAAAACCGTGGCAATTATAAAATAGCTCTATACCGCTATATAAACAAACCCTACTCTAATACTTATAATAAGACACTGCGGTGCACTGAAAAGCACAGCATGGTGCGAATGTTTACTTTTATGGTTCCAAAAGCTATAGCGATGACGGAAGGAAGGACTGACACACTACTTGCCCGCTTATATTATAGATACTAGCTGCATCCCGTGCTCCGCCACGGTAAATCTTTTTAAAATATACCAACTTTGGAACAGAACAAAACAAACAAAAACACAACACAAACACAAACAAAACACAACCACAACCACAACACAACCACATTACAACCACAACACAATCACAACACAACCACAAACACAACCACAACACAACCACAACCACAATACACGGTAAATTTTTTTTAAATGTACCAAGTTGGGAACAGAACAATACTAAATACAACACAAACGAACGCAAAGAAAAAACAAAAACGAAAAAACAAACACAACACTCAACATAAACTCAATTTAAATGTAATCATAAAGGCATATTGCTCACAGTCTATCCCGTAGCGCCAAATCGCGCCCTTTCCGAGCGCCGGCGGAAAATTTCGATTTACACACTCCCACCTCCCTCAAACTTTAGATTTCCACCCCCCCCCTCTTGCTACGCCTCTGTTATAAAACCCCTAGCTTTTCCGCAAATAAATTAAAGGCAGTATATAGAATATCCGTGTTTTACCGACCATATTGCACTTTATAAATTGTACTTTTAAAAATTTACAATAAAGTTTCATGACTAAAACCATTGCGCACCTAATGAACGTGATGACTTAATATAGTAATGGAGAATAGTTGATTAAAAATTATAATTAGTAAACAGTACATTCAGTGAATAAAATAAATAAAAGATAGCCTTTTATCAATCAATGCTAATAATAATATTCCAACAATAATGTACTCTTACACGTCTGCATAATTTGCATTCACATTTTGCTAATTATATTATTCCAACAATTATTCCGTCTTGCAGATTTTGCATTCACATTTTTAGCGTGAGTTCAATTTATCTTTGAATTACCTCCATTGGCAAAATTACTAAGCAGTTTAATTAGATTTTTCTACCGTACTGTTATTATGTTATTAATATGTATCCACTTTTTCTGGGAATATTAACGAAAACGATATTTGACATTGATCCTTTTAATATGTTTTAGCAATGTGCGTGTATTTAATATTCTCTTTACGTTATGCAAAATTGTACAAACAGTGGAAATTATAAAATAGCTCTATGCCGCTATATAAACAAACCCTACTCTATTACTTATAATAAGACACTGCGGTGCACTGAAAAGCACAGCATGGTGCGTAGTTTACTTTTATAGTCCCAAAATCTATAGCGATGACGGACGGAAGGAAGGAAGGAAGGACAGACACAGCCCGCTTATATTATAGACTAGCTGCATCCCGTGCTCCGCCACGGTAAATCTTTTTTAAATGTACCAACTTTGGAACAGAAAAAAACAAATAAAAACAACACAAACACAAAAAACACAACCACAAACACAACACAACCACAACACAACCACAACACAACCACAACACAACCACAACACAAACACAACACAACACAACACAACTACAACACAACCATAACAAAAACACAACCACAACAAAAACACAACCACAACACAGCCACAACACAACCACAACACAACCAAAAAACAACCACAATACAACCACAACACAACCACAACACAACCAAAAAAAAAAACAACACAACCACAACATTAGAATCACCACCAAACAACACGCTTTTTAGGCGTCCGCGCCCAAAGAGACCCTTTCCAACATTAAAAATTTAAGTCACATAAATAGATCCTACTCCATAACTTACAATAAAACAATGCGATGCAAATGAATGTACGGCAAGTGGTGTTTACTTTTATGGTTCTAAGAAAACACATTGGCAATGTAATTAGAATTACCACCGAAAATCACGCTTTTCCCAGGCGTCCGCGCCAAGAGAGAGTCTTTCCACCATTCTCTATATTATAATTATAAAATTTCACCATCTGTTAGCACCAAAAAACAAAAACAAAAAATAGTGATTTTGAGAAATCATAGACTAATTAGAAAATAATATAAATAATCTTAACATTTTTCTCTTTTAATTATGAACCTTAACATAGACTAATCAATGCGGTAGTAATAAAAAAAAGATTAACTTAAATTATTGTTGAGTTAAATATATTTTTAAATTACCTCCCTTGAAAAAATTACCACAAAAAAAAAGTTGAATTAATTAGTTTTTTCGACCTACTTTTATAGAAATGTATCCATTTTTTCTAGGAATATAAACTAAAATGATATTTGACATTGATTTTTTTAATATGTTTTAGCAATGTGCGAATATTCAATATTTTCATAACGTTATGCAAAAAAGTAAACACAGTGGCATTTATAAAATAGCTCTATGCCGTTATATAAACGAACCCTACTCTATTACTTATAATAAGACACTGCGGTGCACTGAAAAGCACAGCATGGTGCGATGCTTACTTTTATGGTTCCAAAATCTATAGCGATGACGGACGGACGGACGGAAGGAAGGAAGGACAAGCACAGCCCGCTTATATTATATATATATATATATATATATATATATATATATATATATATATATATATATATATATATATATATATATATATATATATATATATATATATATATATATATATATGTTATGATGCATGTTTGACTGGGGAAATCGGTGCGCAGGATTGATGGTGCGACCGTATATTGAACGAGTGAATGTGTGACGAGATACGAAAGATAGTGACGTTTCAGGTTAGAGAGTTGGTTGCTATGAGTTTATGTGTGAGCAGTTGAATCCTTATCGTCGGTGTGGAAGGACGTGTGTTGTTGTAGATACGAGATTAAAAGATCTGTACACGGATTACTTGGTTCCTCTTATCTCTGAGCGTTGTAGCAGAGGCGTAGCTAGGGGGGGCGGGGGGGGGGGGCGGCCGCCCCGGGCGCCGACCCTATGGGGGCGCCAAAAGGGGTGGGAAAAATTTTTTAAAGCTGATTTTATGCTGCAGTTTTGAATTATAAACTGTCTAAGTTAAGAAATATAATGGCTACACGCATTTACATACTGATTTAACTGTTTTCTATCTTGATTTCTTAATGTAAAACATATACTCTTAAGAAACAGTGACCGGCAAAACCGCTTTGAAGCTTTTCCTAGATGGGGGGGGGGGGGGGGGCGCTTTTTCGAGACTTAAAACGGAAGAATTTACACTAGATTGTTGAGTCGATAAACGTTACCACTATTAAAAGAAACCAATTGTATTAAAACGTATTGTACGATTGTTGAACTGTAAAATACGTTAGTGACTTTTATCAAGATGGTGCAGGGGGGCGCTTTTAGGCTAAATAAAATAGCAAAATTACACAGGATTCTGAGTAAACAACCTTTAGCTCTCAGAAAGAAACGAATTGTACTGTGCATTGTATAATTGTGTAACATTTTTAAAAAAAAAGTTAGTTACGTTAAAAACCGCTCTACAAACTTTGTCCAAGATGGTTGTGATGAGTGTGTGTGGGGGTGGGGGGGGGGGGGGGGCGCTTTTTTCGCTAACAAAAATCGCAAGTATTTGTACTGGATTGGTGAGTACATAACTCTCTTAACACTTAGTAAAGAAACCAAGTGTATTAACGCGTAATGTACAATTTCAATAGCCAGTTTTGTTAAAAAAAAAGACGCGACTAGTTCTTTGTAAGATTCTTACGATTCTCTCAACTTCAACGTGAGAGATCAGATACTTTTGATCAGTGTTTCTTCCAGACTTTTTTCTCCGGGGGGGCACTTGAAATCTTCGGGGGGAGGGGGGATGCGGTAAACTTTCTTCGGGGGGGGGGGGGCGGACACTGTTAAAAGTATATATTTTCTATATATAAATTATATAAATTTCATTTCGTTCGGGGGGGGGCGTAAAAATTTTTCCGGGGGGCTTCGACCCCCCGAAAAGATGCCTGGAAGAAACTGTGTGCGAGAAGGCAGGGCAAATCTGCGAAATCCAAGACTACGAGCTGTTAACATCCGTTGGATTCCAGTTTGTTTTCTCTAGCTTGTTTTGTCATACCATCAACCAATCAACGAAATACCCATGTCGTATTCCAATGTGAACAATAAATATTTCTGATAACTTCTTCTTGTATGTCACTTGTGTGTCCTTACTCTAACAAACTTCGAATCCAATATGTACCATATCACAACAGAGATCGTTCAAAACTAGAACATAAAAGGCTGGTCTAAACATATTAGCGTTAGCTACAAACTACCCTCTAACACAGATCAGGCTTATTTTTTTTACTGACATTACTAATCTTTCGCAAAAAAAGTTAAACGCATCTTAATGGGAATTAAATTGTCGTAAAGTTTTAAGGAATGAAAATCATACAATGTAATTATTAAACCTTGTCCGGACTGTAGCATACACGCTTACACACACGCTTACACACACAAATACACTCTTACCCACACACAAGCTTATATATAAACACACTATCACACACACATAATTATACACACACACACACACACACACACACACACATATATATATATATATATATATATATATATATATATATATATATATATATATATATATATATATATAAGCGGGGGGGGGGCGCCAAATTGAAAGTTCGCCCCGGGCGCCGGGAAGGGTCGCTACGCCTCTGCGTTGTAGACTCGTTTGAATGTGACATAACCTAGGGGTTCTCAAGGTGTAATACTCTCTCCCTGGTATTGGAGACGAGTGAAATGGTAGCTGGCTGAATCAAATAAATAAACCCTCTCACTGCACTGCAACATAACCGTAACATGGTGAACCAGTATAACAATATGTATGTATGTATGTATAGTATAGAGTAAAGCATAAAACAAAATTGTTATCAAACGTGTTTAGATAGGCCAAAATAAATTATTGTTGTTTTTTAAATTTAAAACGAAGACCATTTTGTAAAACTGAATAAGCAATTTAAAAAACCGGGAGTGATCTCCCGTAAACTTTCTAAAATATTCTTTTAAAACAAAACGGGGGATGGCAACTGGGCTATAGACATGATTTTTAATCCACCTTTTTATTACTTAAATTTTTAAAAAATAGAATAGAATCTCGTAGAAAGAAGAATTTAGCACCAAGTGAATGCTAAATAATCTGTGTATAATAGTGCGGAATATTATTAGTAGTCTATAAATTCACATGAGATTTTTGAGAATTCGGAAATAGCGTAAATTACTACTTCCGGTCATCGAAAACTACTCAAAATTTGACAAAAGGCAAAGAATTAGATCTTTTACTAATTTGTGAAATTTCTTTTATCTATCTGAAAAAGTAGTCAAGTTATAGGCTTTTGAAAACCCAAAAGTAGAATAAGTTCCACTACCGGTTACCGGAAATAGCTTAAAAGTTGTTACAGAATTACAAATTCGATATAATACTTGCATATCTAATTTCATCAACCTAGCTGTAACGGTACTCAAGTTATCGTGTTCACAGACACAGACATACGGACAGAACTGTAAAGCTCAGTTTTTCCGAATCGATTACTCGTAGAACGCTAACATTTTGATCAATCTGCATTTATTATTTTTGCCCTATTAAAATAAGCAGTGGCATCGCTAGGTCGGGTTTCACCCGGTGCGGCACTTCGTAATGTCACCCCCCCCCCCCCAAAAAAAGAGACAGTACTATATATATATATATATATATATATATATATATATATATATATATATATATATATATATATATATATATATATATATATATATGTGTGTGTGTGTGTGTGTGTGTGTGTGTGTGTGTGAGTGCGTGTCGACCCACATAGGCTATAATTTAAATATATGCCACATACGCGTACATGTATAAGCTGTAATCACTAAGAGTAACGATGTTTATCTATCTATAGCCTGTTAAAAATACAGTTGGATGTAGCATTGTTTTCTTTCAAGTTAGCACGTTAAGGACATGGTGTCCCTATCCACTGGTAATAATTGGCGATCTGTATTTTAAAGACTATTTAACTTCAATTAATCACTAATGGATCTGGCAAAAAGGCATTTTTCTTCTGTACATTTTGCCATTTTTTACCTTGGTGTCGCCCCCTTAAAAGGTGTCACCCGGTGCGGTCCGCACCCCTCACTACGCCTGTGAAAATAAGTCCCCTATACACAGTATATGATGAAGTACCGAGGTGTAAAACGCTGAAAACTGTCAAAAATTTCATGTGATTTGTTTGCACAACTACAATACTTCATCTATAGCCTACTCTGTGTACGAGAAAGTAAAAAAAATCTGCATTTTCGCGTCTTATGTATTCTAATTTTTTAGAGTAGACAAAATGCTATTATAAAGTAAATTGTACGAGAATGCCAACAAAAAACAGACTACTCCCTATATTTAATATTATATATATATATATATATATATATATATATATATATATATATATATATTTATATATATATATATTTATATATATACGTATATAGAACATATCACAAATTCGGCGCCTTTTTTGTTGTTGCTATTTTCGCTCCCCCTACACCGAAAACCTTGATAAGGGTATAACACATCCAACTATAACACATCCAACTATAACACATCCAACTATAACCTTTCAGCTTAAAGTTTCTTATTAAAAACATTAAAGAAATATCTGACAAACAATCAGCCATGCACACATTCCAAATTATATTAAAAATCCAAGCAAGTAAAGTATTTATTGTTACAGTAATATTTTTAAACTTTAGGACAGTGGTAAATAGTTTTATAAAAACATTTAGTTGGTAGTTTTTTATAAATTAGATTAAAACTCGTCCTTGTACTGGTCTGGTATCTCAAACTTGACGTGTGCTGTACAGCCCTCATCGATGCAGCACTCAGGGAGCGCGCAGCATTTCCCTGGGGTGGGAGTTGGCTGGGTACAATTGTAGTTCTCTAGGTCTTGAAAGACAGGGCAGCTGTGGAAAAATGGACAAGTATTTTCCAAAATCACAGTGAACAAAATTGTAAGGTAAACTCGATAAGTTGAAATGCATGACTTAATAAATTCAATAAGCTGTAAGAAGTTGATACAGACTAGCAAATGCCTTGAGCTGTGATAGGTAAAGATACAGATCTGCTGATGTCATATGTCATAAGATTTGATAGGTAAAGATATAGATCTGCTGATGTCATATGTCATGAGATTTGATAGGTAAAGATACAGATCTGCTGATGTCATATGTCATAAGATTTGATAGGTAAAGATACAGATCTGCTGATGTCATATGTCATGAGATTTGAAAGGTAAAGATACAGATCTGCTGATGTCATATGTCATAAGATTTGATAGGTAAAGATACAGATCTGCTAATGTCATATGTCATAAGATTTGATAGGTAAAGATACAGATCTGCTGATGTCATATGTCATGAGATTTGAAAGGTAAAGATACAGATCTGCTGATGTCATATGTCATGAGATTTGAAAGGTAAAGATATAGATCTGCTGATGTCATATGTCATGAGATTTGAAAGGTAAAGATACAGATCTGCTGATGTCATATGTCATGAGATTTGAAAGGTAAAGATACAGATCTGCTGATGTCATATGTCATAAGATTTGATAGGTAAAGATACAGATCTGCTGATGCCATATGTCATAAGATTTGATAGGTAAAGATACAGATCTGCTGATGTCATATGTCATGAGATTTGAAAGGTAAAGATACAGATCTGCTGATGTCATATGTCATGAGATTTGAAAGGTAAAGATATAGATCTGCTGATGTCATATGTCATGAGATTTAAAAGGTAAAGATACAGATCTGCTGATGTCATATGTCATGAGATTTGAAAGGTAAAGATACAGATCTGCTGATGTCATATGTCATGAGATTTGAAAGGTAAAGATATAGATCTGCTGATGTCATATGTCATGAGATTTGAAAGGTAAAGATATAGATCTGCTGATGTCATATGTCATGAGATTTGAAAGGTAAAGATATAGATCTGCTGATGTCAAGACTTACATGCCCCGACATTCCCTGTAGAAGCCATCCGGTCTCTGGGTGCATGTACATTCGTATGTGCAGCCCTCTCTCCAGGACTCACCAGGAAGATGTGGGTTGCCTTGAGGGTCTAAGCAATACTGACCTGTCAAAAAGCAATTCAAGTCTAAGCAATACTGACCTGTCAAAAAGCAATTCAATATTTTAAAAGGAAATAACTGTTTTTATTCACCTACGTTGTTATTAACATTTTCTATACGCAAACACTTATTTCTAAGTAACCCCACCCTTTCATTCAGTACACAAGGGGCCCATAATTATGGAATGAATGACATGAGATTGCACAATAAAAGGAAGAAAAAACACAATGCTGATATAATGACTTTATAAAGAAAATGAAGCGTGAGTGGTCTCCCCTAAACTTTCTCGGTTATATTTACATAACATCCTAAGAGAGAGCAACTGGCATATAGACATGCTTTTTTAAAAATCAATTTTTAATTACTTAAACTTTTAAAAATATAATAGATTATGGTAGAACAAGAATTGTGCATCAAGTGAACTGCAAACAATGTGTGTAAAATAGTGCGGAACATTAGTATTTTATAAATTCATTTGAGTTTTTTGAGAAATCGGAAATAGTGTAAAGTACTACTTCCGGTACACGGAAATTGCTCAAAATTTTATAAAAGACTGAGAATTAGATCTCTTACATATATGTGAAATTTTGTCTATCTGTAACAGTACTCAAGTTACAGGCTTTTGAAAAACCAAGAATAGAAAAACCTTCCACTTTCGGTTACCGGAAATCGCTGAAAAGATGACACAGAACAACAAATTTGATATAGATTAGGTTAGGTTTGCCCGTCGCCCCTCCTGGTACATAGGCCGCTGACAAGAGCTTTCAAGGCATCTCTGTCCTGGGCTAGTCTCTCCAACTGTCCCCTGGTGTATCCAATCTTCTTGGTGTCTTCTTCCAGGTCACGTCTCCAGGTCTTTCTTGGTCTGCCTCTCCTCCTTCTGCCTTGTGGATTCCAGGTGAGGGCCTGTCTTGTTATGCTGGATACACGCTTCCTGGGTGTTTGGCCAATCCATTTCCATTTTCTCTGGAGGATCTCTACTTCAACTGGCAGTTGATTTGTCCGTTGCCATAGAACATCATTTATGATGGTTTTAGGCCAGCGAATTCGCAGGATCTTTCCGAGGCATGAGTTTATAAATGATTGTATTTAGTTAGCTTAGAGGGGTCCTTAAGTAGGCCAGTGTTATTACTGTATTTCCTTTTGTTTTCCAACATGTTTTTCTTCAGTTTAGTTTTACTTTAGCAACAAGTAGGTGATGGTCTGAAGCAACATCAGCTCCTCACTTGACACGTACATCTTGATCTCCTGAACTTTTTTATGATACATATATGGTCTATCTGGTTTTCTGTAGATAGGTCGGGTGATACCCAAGTAGCTTTATGTATCCTTTTGTGATGAAAGAGAATACCTCCAATTACTAAATTACTAGTGGCATACAAGTCAGCAAATCTTTCTCCGTTTTTGTTCATCTCACCTAAACCCTGCTGTCCCATACATTCTTCATATCCTCTGTTGTCAGTTCCAATCTTAGTATTGAGTCGCCCATGAGTATAATGTTTCTTTTTGGGCGGTTCTGGATAATAGTCATTAGCCTGTTGTAGAATTCATCTTTGTCCTCCTCTTTGCTGTCATTTGTTGGGGCGTAGGCCTGTGTTATGTCCATGTTTATTCGTCTTATTTTAGTTTTAAAGGTGGCTGTTATGATCCGCGGGCAGTGTGCCTCCCATCCAATGAGAGCCCTTTGAGCTTGCTTTGACAACATAAATGCGACTCCTTGAGTATGTGGTGCATTTTCATCCTCATGGCCTGAGAACAGCAGTAGCTCTCATGTTATTAGTCTTTTTTGTCCTGAGTCAGTCCACCTTGACTCACTGATATCAAGGATAGCTATCTTATAGCGTCTTATTTCTGCGGCTACTTGGGTTTCCGAAAGCTTGATATAATACTCATATATGAAATTACACTAACCTAGCAGTAACGGTTCTCAAGTCATCGCGTTCACAGACACAAACACACACACAGACATTCGGACAAAATTGAAAAACTACGTTTTTCCGACTCAGAGAGGTGTAAAACGTCGAGATTCGTGAAAATCTCGATTTTGGATTTTTGTACGATTACAAAACTTCCTCGATACTTCGTATACGAGGAAATAAAAATTACTTAAAATAACTTAGTGGATTATTGTCTTAATTAAGAGAAAATATAAGTAAGCATATAATGCTTATAGCAAATAATTGAATGAATCTTATGATTCAATATTATATACAAATATAAGGCGTAACTTTTAAGAGAAAATGCGATGCTAGTTGTTATACTTATAAGGTGAACCATCGGGTCCAAACGACTGGAGATTACGGGAATGTCTTAAACACAATAGGATCAAGAAATAAATGTTGCGAAATGCGGTCAGAACCAAGTCAAAAGCCGCTGGTATAATCGGCCACATGCAACACGGCGGAACGCCAAGAGACAATGCTAGTTGCTATCCTTATCAGGTGAACAATGATGTCCATGCGACTGGAGATGAAAGAAACCGAATGAAGTAGGTCGATTCCAAGGACCCAAAACACAGTGGACGGGTGGCAGGTAAACGTCGGAAAATATCAACCTGGAGTGTTTTGTTTGCTCAAAAACTAAAACAAGAACAAGGAAGAGTAAAAGTTGAGATGGAGGCAATACTGCTTGGTGAGCCATGAAAAAAAACGAAAAAAAAAATTACGGAAAGAGAGCAGGATAGGAAAAGTCATAGCAGTAGGCTACGTGAAAACAAAAATAGACTTAAATTTCTACGTAGTATAGCATACAATTTATCATACTTGACCCTATTTTTTAATGTTGTACTTTAACTTTATCATTTTGTAACTGGTTTTAATAAAAGTTAAACATGTCTGTAATTGTAGTTTGTTGTTTTATAAAACTTGTCGGCCTTTTGGACGTCGGCTTTTTAGCTGTCGGTCTTATTTCCTGTCGATTTTTTGTCCGTTCGGCCTTTTCTCAATTGTCCGAATCCCCTAGACAACTAAATTTAATACCCCACAATCAAGCGCCCATTTTCATTAAGATAATTGATATAGTAATAATTTTTACAGGAAAAGTTACGTGTAGAACTAGTTGTAGGTATAGGTATAATTATAGGCATCGGTAAGGGCTATGAATAGCGACAGGGAAAAGGAAAAAAAGATACGGAAATATACGGGTATCGATAGGAATAATGTTATAGAAAATTAAATGGGATATTGACAGAAATAAGGAAATGGAAGAAATTAAAATAGGGATAGCGATAAGGATAAGGAAAAGAATAGGGATAACTACAGGAATACGTAAGAGATGGAGATAACGATAGGAGAATGAAATGGGCTAGGGAATAAAACTAGAAATTGATAAAGATTATAAAAACAGAAATGAGATAGGGAAAGAGATAGGGAAACGGGATAGCTATAGATATAAGAATAGACATAAACGTCAAGGTGGGGATATGTAATGAAAGAAAGGGATAAGAAAAGGAATAAGAATAACTATATACTGATAGGGATAATTACAGTGATAGGAATTGGGGTATTAATAGGGATAGGGATAAATATAGAAATAGTTATAGTGGTTGGGATAAGTTTCTGTAGATAATTATGTTTGTGTCTGTGGTTGTGGTTAAGTTTAGTGTTATGTATATTTTCCATGACCTCCATATTTACACATATATATTCTATATATTTCCCGAAAACAGTGCAGCGCCGGGTATATACTGCTAGTTTAACATATACTGCTCGTTTAACATAAATACTGCTAGTTTAACATATACTGCTAGTTTAACATATATACTGCTAGTTTAACATAAAACAAATAATTGTAACCGAATCATAATTATTAAGAAGAATATAGTCTTTCGATGGATATCATTTGTCTAACTTTATCAGTGAAATGGTATGAAAGGACATGCCGGTAATGATGTCATCTCCTACTTGAATTACCTGAACACGTATCACCCTGTAGGACTGGGCAACATTCTCCAGGTACTTGAACCTCCTGGCACCCAGGTGGAAGGCTGATGTATTTAGGACACCTACATGACAACAATCTTCAGAATTAGTTCATTGAAATATGACAAGTAGTGATGGGAGGTACAAATCATCATGTGATGGGGGATGGGGGGGGAGGGGAATGGTGAAAATCATCGTTCATGTGATGGCGGGGGGGGGGGGGGAATGGTGAAAATCATCGTTCATGTGATGGAGGGGGGGGAATGGTAAATGTTATCATTCCTGTGTATGGGAAGAGGGTGGGGGCGGTCAGACGTCGTTCATAGAAGGGGGGTGGGGTTCACATCTTCATTCATGTGATTTGGTGGGGGGCATACAAGTCGTCATTGAAATATCACCAGATAATAACGAACAAAACAACGGCACTTGCATCATAAAAAACTTTGGACGAGTGTATGGCAAGAGCTGTCTGTGTCAAGTCACGTGGATCCATTGAAAAATGTCGTCAAATCATTACAGGCAACAGAATTTTCATTTATAGCAAACTTACAAATCATGACAGGAAATGGACATGAAAGTGTCATTCAAAGCTAAACACTGGCACTTCCTTTCACATCCCTCAATCCAGGTGTCTCCTTGGTGGTAATCTTTGCCATTGTAGTTACAAGTTTGACCTTTCAAAAAGGAATTGTAGATAAAAGGGTTACGGTTAGAGCTTATGTTGGAACATTTTAATTAGATGCTGACAACATTATGTATGTAGAATTACAGATATATGTGTACAGCCACGTGTCCGTGTGGATGTGGATGTGCATGTACCACCCCACCATCTCTGGTGTCCCTGGTCTTTTAATATCCCCCCCCCCCCCGCCGCCCCCCCCCCCCCCCCGTCTGGTCTGTTATTCCACTGAGACTAGTCGTCTACTTAATTGTTTATAACTGAATGTTCTTATGTTCTGAAACTGATTTATAGGAAGAAAGAAACGATGTACTTACCAAATGATAGCGATGTTGGGAACGGTGTTGATGCTGGAAAATAAACATAATCATAATTTGTCTGTGATTTAAGATTTTCTTTTTTAATGCGGTTAATGTAAGTAGTAGAAAAAAAGTTTATTTGTAAGATAATGTAATGTGTAAGTTTATTTGTAAGATAATGTAATGTGTAAGTTTATTTGTAAGATAATGTAATGTGTAAGTTTATTTGTAAGATAATGTAATGTGTAAGTTTATTTGTTAGATAATGTAATGTGTAAGTTTGTAAAATAATGTTATGTGTAAGTTTATTTGTATGATAATGTAATGTGTAAGTTTATTTGTTAGATAATGTAATGTGTAAGTTTGTAAAATAATGTTATGTGTAAGTTTATTTGTATGATAATGTAATGTGTAAGTTTATTTGTTAGATAATGTAATGGGTAAGTTTATTTGTAAGATAATGTAATGTGTAAGTTTATTTGTATGATAATGTAATGTGTAAGTTTATTTGTTAGATAATGTAATGTGTAAGTTTGTAAAATAATGTTATGTGTAAGTTTATTTGTATGATAATGTAATGTGTAAGTTTATTTGTTAGATAATGTAATGGGTAAGTTTATTTGTAAGATAATGTAATGTGTAAGTTTATTTGTATGATAATGTAATGTGTAAGTTTATTTGTATGATAATGTAATGTGTAAGTTTATTTGTAAGATAATGTAATGTGTAAGTGTACCTGTGGCACTGGGGTCAGGAGTCGGCAGATTAATTTGAAGCAAGTCACAGCACGGAAACTCAGGGTCCGGGAACGATGTGCAGTTGTACCCAATAGGACAGAAGAGTTCTTTACACCTGCACACACCAGACATGTTAGATCAGAGACTGTCAGACATGTTAGATCAGAGACTGTCAGACATGTTAGATCAGAGACTGTCAGACATGTTAGATCACAGATTGTCAGACATGTTAGATCACAGACTGTCAGACATGTTAGATCACAGACTGTCAGACATGTTAGATCAGAGACTGTCAGACATGTTAGATCACAGACTGTCAGACATGTTAGATCACAGACTGTCAGACATGTTAGATCACAGACTGTCAGACATGTTAGATTACAGACTGTCAGACATGTTAGATCACAGACTGTCAGACATGTTAGACCAGAGACTGTCAGACATGTTAGACCACAGACTGTCAGACTGTCAAACATGTTAGATCACAGACTGTCAGACATGTTAGATCACAGACTGTCAGACATGTTAGATCAGAGACTGTCAGACATGTTAGACCACAGACTGTCAGACATGTTAGATCAGAGACTGTCAGACATGTTAGATCACAGACTGTCAGACATGTTAGATCAGAGACTGTCAGACATGTTAGATCACAGACTGTCAGACATGTTAGATCAGAGACTGTCAGACATGTTAGATCACAGACTGTCAGACATGTTAGATCAGAGACTGTCAGACATGTTAGATCACAGACTGTCAGACATGTTAGATTACAGACTGTCAGACATGTTAGATCACAGACTGTCAGACATGTTAGATCAGAGACTGTCAGACATGTTAGATCACAGACTGTCAGACATGTTAGATCACAGACTGTCAGACATGTTAGATCACAGACTGTCAGACATGTTAGATTACAGACTGTCAGACATGTTAGATCACAGACTGTCAGACATGTTAGACCAGAGACTGTCAGACATGTTAGACCACAGACTGTCAGACTGTCAAACATGTTAGATCACAGACTGTCAGACATGTTAGATCACAGACTGTCAGACATGTTAGATCAGAGACTGTCAGACATGTTAGACCACAGACTGTCAGACATGTTAGATCAGAGACTGTCAGACATGTTAGATCACAGACTGTCAGACATGTTAGATCAGAGACTGTCAGACATGTTAGATCACAGACTGTCAGACATGTTAGATCAGAGACTGTCAGACATGTTAGATCACAGACTGTCAGACATGTTAGATCAGAGACTGTCAGACATGTTAGATCACAGACTGTCAGACATGTTAGATTACAGACTGTCAGACATGTTAGATCACAGACTGTCAGACATGTTAGACCAGAGACTGTCAGACATGTTAGACCACAGACTGTCAGACTGTCAAACATGTTAGATCACAGACTGTCAGACATGTTAGATCAGAGACTGTCAGACATGTTAGACCACAGACTGTCAGACATGTTAGATCACAGACTGTCAGACATGTTAAAACAGAGACTGTCAGACATGTTAGATCACAGACTGTCAGACATGTTAAAACAGAGACTGTCAGACATGTTAGATCACAGACTGTCAGACATGCTAGATCACAGACTGTCAGACATGTTAGATCACAGACTGTCAGACATGTTAGACCAGAGACTGTCAGACATGTTAGACCACAGACTGTCAGACTGTCAAACATGTTAGATCACAGACTGTCAGACATGTTAGATCAGAGACTGTCAGACATGTTAGACCACAGACTGTCAGACATGTTAGATCACAGACTGTCAGACATGTTAAAACAGAGACTGTCAGACATGTTAGATCACAGACTGTCAGACATGTTAAAACAGAGACTGTCAGACATGTTAGATCACAGACTGTCAGACATGCTAGATCACAGACTGTCAGACATGTTAGACCACAGACTGTCAGACATGTTAGACCACAGACTGTCAGACATGTTAGATCACAGACTGTCAGACATGTTAAAACAGACTGTCAGACATGTTAGACCACAGACTGTCAGACATGTTAGATCAGAGACTGTCAGACATGTTAGACCACAGACTGTCAGACATGTTAGATCACAGACTGTCAGACATGTTAGATCACAGACTGTCAGACTGTCAGACATGTTAGACCACCGACTGTCAGACTGTCAGACATGTTAGATCACAGACTGTCAGACATGTTAGATCACAGACTGTCAGACATGTTAGATCAGAGACTGTCAGACATGTTAGACCACAGACTGTCAGACATGTTAGATCACAGACTGTCAGACATGTTAGACCAGAGACTGTCAGACATGTTAGACCACAGACTGTCAGACTGTCAAACATGTTAGATCACAGACTGTCAGACATGTTAGATCAGAGACTGTCAGACATGTTAGACCACAGACTGTCAGACATGTTAGATCACAGACTGTCAGACATGTTAAAACAGAGACTGTCAGACATGTTAGATCACAGACTGTCAGACATGTTAAAACAGAGACTGTCAGACATGTTAGATCACAGACTGTCAGACATGCTAGATCACAGACTGTCAGACATGTTAGACCACAGACTGTCAGACATGTTAGACCACAGACTGTCAGACATGTTAGATCACAGACTGTCAGACATGTTAAAACAGACTGTCAGACATGTTAGACCACAGACTGTCAGACATGTTAGATCAGAGACTGTCAGACATGTTAGACCACAGACTGTCAGACATGTTAGATCACAGACTGTCAGACATGTTAAAACAGACTGTCAGACATGTTAGATCACAGACTGTCAGACATGTTAGACCACAGACTGTCAGACATGTTAGACCACAGACTGTCAGACATGTTAGATCACAGACTGTCAGACATGTTAGACCACAGACTGTCAGACATGTTAGACCACAGACTGTCAGACATGTTAGATCAGAGACTGTCAGACATGTTAGACCACAGACTGTCAGACATGTTAGATCACAGACTGTCAGACATGTTAAAACAGACTGTCAGACATGTTAGATCACAGACTGTCAGACATGTTAGACCACAGACTGTCAGACATGTTAGACCACAGACTGTCAGACATGTTAGATCACTGACTGTCAGACATGTTAGACCACAGACTGTCAGACATGTTAGACCACAGACTGTCAGACATGTTAAAACAGAGACTGTCAGACATGTTAGGCCACAGACTGTCAGACATGTTAGACCACAGACTGTCAGACATGTTAAAACAGAGACTGTCAGACATGTTAGATCACAGACTGTCAGACATGCTAGATCACAGACTGTCAGACATGTTAGACCACAGACTGTCAGACATGTTAGATCACAGACTGTCAGACATGTTAAAACAGAGACTGTCAGACATGTTAGACCACAGACTGTCAGACATGTTAGATCAGAGACTGTCAGACATGTTAGACCACAGACTGTCAGACATGTTAGATCACAGACTGTCAGACATGTTAGATCAGAGACTGTCAGACATGTTAGATCACAGACTGTCAGACATGTTAGACCACAGACTGTCAGACATGTTAGATCACAGACTGTCAGACATGTTAAAACAGAGACTGTCAGACATGTTAGATCACAGACTGTCAGACATGTTAAAACAGAGACTGTCAGACATGTTAGATCACAGACTGTCAGACATGCTAGATCACAGACTGTCAGACATGTTAGACCACAGACTGTCAGACATGTTAGACCACAGACTGTCAGACATGTTAGATCAGAGACTGTCAGACATGTTAGACCACAGACTGTCAGACATGTTAGATCACAGACTGTCAGACATGTTAAAACAGAGACTGTCAGACATGTTAGACCACAGACTGTCAGACATGTTAGATCACAGACTGTCAGACATGTTAGACCACAGACTGTCAGACATGTTAGATCACAGACTGTCAGACATGTTAAAACAGAGACTGTCAGACATGTTAGATCACAGACTGTCAGACATGTTAGACCACAGACTGTCAGACATGTTAGATCAGAGACTGTCAGACATGTTAGACCACAGACAGTCAGACATGTTAGATTACAGACTGTCAGACATGTTAGATCACAGACTGTCAGACATGTTAGACCACAGACTGTCAGACATGTTAGATCACAGACTGTCAGACATGCTAGATCACAGACTGTCAGACATGTTAGACCACAGACTGTCAGACATGTTAGCTGAGAGACTGTCATTTATTATACATCAGACATGTTTGCCCATAAACTACCTATGGCTGTCATGTTTATACCGAAGACATGTTTTACAGTTTCTCTTTGGAAGCATGAGGGAAAATGTTACGTACAGCGACATTTTAAATTACAATTAGGAGTTACAATTTAAAATAAACCGAGAGTGATCTCCCCTGAACTTTCTGGAATATTCTTATACGAGATAAATGGCCCGTTGAGGGAGAGATAAATCGAAATTAAAAACAAAATCACCACCTCAACTTCAATATTATCCGGAAACGAAAAATGTAATTGAAAACGGATTTCTGACCAGAATCAGCCTTTTAACCAGAATTAAGCTTGATCTACGCGTAGGTACTGCATATTGATACTATACATTGTGGAAGTCATACTCCTAAACCTTGCACCAAACACGATATAGGTCACATTTAGGAGCGGGGGCTCCGCCCCATCCCCCCCCCCCTCTCACACACACCTTAATGCATGTCTACCGTCTCATTCAACGAACTATACTTTTTTATAGAAAAAATATTTTTACCTGTGTCCACTCCCTTCCAAAAAATTTAGTCCACCCTCACCCCCGAAAGTTTTAAGAACCCCCTCCCTCCTCCCCTTTGTGAGGAATAACTCTGAGAGAAACACTGGTCGCATTTGTATCTCATACAAAATAAAGGTAGAGCCTACTTCTATAATATAGACCTGTTTCCTACTTTCGACCGATAAATTTTACTCACGCAGACAGTGTTCGTTTCAGCCTTTTTTTCCGGGGGTGGGGAATAAATTTCGCAGTGGCGAATAAATTTCGACGGGTCAGGGGAGTACGACACCGGTAAAAGTATATATTTTCTATATAAATTATATTATGCCTTTTTTTTTTGGGGGGGGGGGGGGGGGGGGGTGGGGGGCATTAGACGTTTTATCGCCGGAGGGGGGGGGGGGGGAATAGACATTCTACCGTGGGGGGGGGGGGGAGGAAAACGGGCTTCGCCCCTACCAGAAGAGAAACTCTACACGCAAAACACTTATAATATTAGACACATAATTTAGACCGTAATGTCAGTATTTGTATTATGGAGTATCGATGACGTCATTTCTTTGAGGGGGGAGGGGAGGTCGGCATAGACGTTCTACCGGGGGTGGGACTTCGCCCCTACCCGATGATATGCATGAAAGAAACTCATCACGCAAAACACTTTAAAGATTAGACACATTAATTAGGCCGTAATGTCAGTGTTTTTATTATAGAGTATCAATGACGTCATTTCTTTTGAGGGGGGGGGGGGTGTGGCATAAACGTGGCTTTTTAATTCAATGTTTACTCGAGAATCAACGACGTCATATACTACTGTGCACTCTCCGGCTTGAGACAATTTTCGGTAATCTATCGTTTTGGGTACGTAAAATCGCCCGCGGCTATTTATGTACGAAAACGTCACCTCATTGTCAAGGCTTTAATAGAAGTATATTGTCATATATTTGTGTCAAATATTACAGATAAATGAATAATAAACCTAAATCAATGGCTAACTATATCGATATAGGCCAGAAATTAACTTTAAACAGCAGTGTCTGAGAGCAAGATTTGCTATATAAACAGCAGCCATTTGTAAAATAGAGTGGCTTCCCCCTGAATCTGGCGCTAAAAGCTTATAAAAATAAAACTTAGACAAGATGGCTGCTATAGTAAATGGGCATGGTTGCATCTGTTGGAAACATCGCTAGTCTTCATTTATTACGGAAAAGTTTTAATTCAATTGTTTAAAAACAGGTAAAAAAATGAATCAAGGAAACATTTTTGAATTTTTTAAAACATAAATCTTCCTCAAAATGTGAAATAATTATTAAAATTTAAGGAGTCACCTGTTTTTCACATTACAAATCGTGGGCGATTTTACGTACCCAAAACGATAGATTACCCAATTTTCTACTATATGCTCCATGTGACGTCACGTTTCTTTTTTCGAATTACTATGCATGTTTTTACTCTGCGTGTGTTTTCTCTATCTATCTATAGCGTTCTTGTCAGATACATAGATAGATACACAGACAAAGAAACTTTTATTATAGACGAGAAAAATGGCCTGTTGAGGAAGGATACAACGGGCGCTAGGTTAATAGTGCTGTCTATTTTCTCTAAACTAAAACCAAAACCAAAATCACCACCTTAGTTCAATTTAACCGGAAACGAAAAATGACATTGAAAACGGATTTTTATCCAGAATCGGTGCTTAAATAGGATTTAAGCTTGATCTCTACCTAGTTAATGCACATTGATACTAAATATAGTTGCAGCCATACTCCTAAACTAATCTCAATCATGACAAAAGTCGCATTTAGAGTTTCTTTTAGGCGACTCTACTTGCCCCCCCCCCCCCTCCACACACACACACACACACACACCTCAAAGCATATCTACCGTCCCATTCAACGAAATAGAATTTATATAGAAAATATACTTCACCAGTGTACGCCCCCTGCCCGACACTGGTAAAAGTATATATATATTTCCTATATAAATTATATTTCGTTTTTTTAGGGGGAGGGATTAGACGCTCTACCGGGGGGGGGGGGGGGGGGAGTAAATGGGCTTCGCCCCTACCGGAGGAGATGCATGAAAGAAAATCTGCAAGCAAACCACTTTTTAAAATAGACACATTAATTAGGCGTTAATTTTATTATAGAGTATCGATGACGACATTTCTTTTGAGTTGGGGAGGGGGGGGGGGGCGGCTTAGACGTTCTTTTGCGAGGATGGGGGCTTCGCCCCTACCCGAAGAATTGTATGAAAGAAACTCTTCACGCAAACCACTTTTAAGATTAGACGAAATTGGCTTTTTAATTCAATGTTTACTCGAGAATCAATGACGTCATATTAGTGTGTGCACTCCCCCGGCTTTGGACTATTTCCCACTAAATGCTCCATGTGACGTCATATTTCGTTTTCGTTTTACTATGAAAGTTTTTATTTTGCTTGTGTTTTCTCTATAGCTTTCTTGACAGATAGATAGATAGATACACAGACAGACAGCGAAACTATTAGTATAGATAAAAAAAACAGGGGATGGGAACTCGGGATAAAGACATGAATTTTAATCCATTTTAAATACTTAAACTTTTTAAAATAGAATAAAATTTCGTAGAAAAAAGAATTGCAATCAGTGAACGCCAAATAAAATGTGCATAATAGTGCGGAATATTATTAGTACTTTATAAATTTACATTAGTTTTTTGAGAAATCGAAAATAGCGTAAATTAGTACTTCAGGTCAACGGAAATTACTCAGAATTTGACAGAAGGTAGAGAATTAGATCTCTTACTTACCTGTGAAATTCCATTTATCTATCTGAAATTGTACTCAAGTTATAAGCTTTTGAAAAATTGAAAGTAAAATAAACCGGGAGTGATCTCCCCTAAACTTTCTCGAATATTCTAATATAACACTACGTGGGATGTCAACTCGGAATATAGACACGACTTTTGTTTACTTAAACTTTTAAAAATAGAATAAAATTTAGTAGAAAAAAAAATTGCGCACCAAGCGAGCACCAAAACCAAATGTGCGTAATAGTGCGCAATATTATTAGTACTTTATAAATTTACATGCGTTTTTTGAGAAATCGGAAATAGCGTAAATTAGTACTTCTGGTCAACGGAAATTACTCAAAATTTGACAGAAGGTAGAGAATTAGATCTTTTATTTACTTGTGAAATTTCATTTATCTATCTGAATTAGTACTCAAGTTATAGGCTTTTGAAAAATTCAAAGTAGAAAAAGTACCACTTCCGGTTATCGGAAATCGCTCAAAAGTTGATACGGATCTACGATTTTGATATAATACTTATATATGAAATTTCATCAACCTAGCTGTAACGGTACTCAAGTAATCGTGTTTACACACAGACACACACACAGACATACGGACAAGATTGCAAAATTATGTTTTTCCGTATCAGTGAGGTGTAAAACGTCGAGATTTGTAAGAATCTCGATTTTTTTTTTGGAACGATTACAAGACTTTCTCTATAATTCGAATATACGAGAAAGTAAATAAACCGGGAGTGATCTCCCCTAAACTTTCTCGAATATTCTAATATAAAACTACGGGGGATGGCAACTCGGGACATAGACAATACTTTTAATCCATTTTTAATAACTTAAACTTTTTATAATAGAATAGAATCTCGTAAAAAAAGATTTTGATATAATACTTATATATGAAATTTCATAAACACAAGTTATCGTGTTTACACACACACACACACACACACACATACACACATACACACAGACATACGGACAAGATTGCAAAACTATGTTTTTTTCCGACTCATGGAGCCCTAAAACGATTTTTTTTTTGCACGATTACAAGACTTTCTCTATACTTCGTTTATATGAGAAAGTAAAAATGACTTACATATCTGAGCAAATATATTGTCCCCTTGTTGAATTAATACAGATACAATTAAAGTCGCAGCCAACTGTCCATCTTTCTCCCTCCTTGTAAGACTGGCCAGTTTGTGGGTGGTCACATGTACCTAGATTAGGATTAAGGTTTGGTTATACTGCTTCTTTAGGCTACTTTAGCTAATTACTTTTTAAATAAAATCACTGAATATAATACAAGTTTGGCAGCCAGCTCTATACATGAAAGCTTGAAATCACTGTCAACTTGGATTAGTTGTGTCAGAATCAACCACTGACCCCACTGACCCCATTGACCTACTGACCCCACTGACCCCATTGACCTACTGACCCCACTGACCCCACTGACACCACTGACCCCATTGACCTACTGACCCCACTGACCCCACTGACCCTATTGACCCCACTGACCCCATTGACCCACTGACCCCACTGACCCATTGACCTCACTGACCCCACTGACCCCAATGACCGACTCACCTGGGGCATTAGGGTCGGGTACAGTACCAGGCGGCATGGTGGGCAAGTCCTTGGCACTCTGTGGCTTGTGAGAATGAGATGGATCATATGTGGTCAGTCTCGATGCTGTGGTTGGGGCTGTGGTCAGCTGAGCTTTTGGTGTTGTCGTGGTCGAGTAAGTGGCGATAATGTCGTGGATTTCTGGGCTCTTGACGATGCTGTAGACTAACTATATAAACAGAACAGTTATTGACCAACTAAATAAACAGAACAGTAATTGACCAACTAAATAAACAGAACAGTAATTGACCAACTAAATAAACAGAACAGTTATTGACCAACTAAATAAACAGAACAGTTATTGACCAACTAAATAAACAGAACAGTAATTGACCAACTAAATAAACAGAACAGTAATTGACCAACTAAATAAACAGAACAGTAATTGACCAACTAAATAAACAGAACAGTAATTGACCAACTAAATAAACAGAACAGTAATTGACCAACTAAATAAACAGAACAGTTATTGACCAACTAAATAAACAGAACAGTTATTGACCAACTAAATAAACAGAACAGTTATTGACCAACTAAATAAACATTACATATAAAAAGGATTGTAGAAGACAAACAGAGAGGGTTAACATTAAGAGTTAACATACAGAGAAATTAAAAACGAGAGCACTTAAGTTGAGGTATTTCTACACAGGGATGCTTTCATTATTTTCACTAACTACTGTATTTTTATCTCACTGTTTTTGTACAATGAAACATAAAAAATGTATACTACTTTTCAAAATGCTTAGGATGTAAGTCTCATTTAAAAATTTCATCTCTGTAAGAAATAAGATGAAGTAGCAATTAAAAAAAACATCTTACACGAGGCTTAGAATATTGTGCGGTCGGAGGGTCTTTGACTGACAGCGGACAACTTGGTACTTTACAGCAGGCATCAAACGGATCTGTCACAACAGTACACAGGTCATTGTCAGGGGCGTATGTTGCACACCTGGGGAAGAAAGTAATTGTCACTAACGCTAACCGTATCTAACATGACATTAATCTTAATTAACCCTATCTAACATGACATTCATCTTAATTAACCCTATCTAACATGACATTAATCTTAATTAACCCTATCTAACATGACATTAATCTTAATTAACCCTATCTAACATGACATTAACCCTAACCCTATCTAACATGACATTAATCTTAATTAACCCTATCTAACATGACATTAATCTTAATTAACCCTATCTAACATGACATAATCTTAATTAACCCTATCCACACATGACATTAACCCTAACCCTATCTAACATGACATTAATCTTAATTAACTCTATCTAACATGACATTAACCCTACCTATCTACACATGACATCAACCCGGAAGTGTCATCCACACATTGGCAAGTGGCACCACAACTGCCATCCTTTGCTATCTCCCCTTGTGCCAAAAGTCTGCCATTGAACAGGCAACCATCTGTAGAGCAGAGTTATTATCCTTTCAATTAAATCATTGCTAAGAAAGTCTCGTTTCCATTTCTCCAGTTACAACATATTTATGTTCAAATCTTTTCAAAATAAGCGTCCTCAAAGGGATATTAAAATCTTTTCAAAATATGCGTCCTTAAAGTGATATTAAAATCCTTCAAAAAATTACCACAACGGCTGTCCACAAATGTGTTAACAAATGACGTCACACTCAGAATGTAGAGTGGAGTTCGGACGATCGTGACTGTACGTGGGAAGTGCGGGTCAGAACCGTGACGTCATATATATATATATATTTACTAGCATCATATACCCGGCGATGCCCGGGAAATGTCGATATGCAAATATGCACGCTTGAGAAAATAACCACAACCATAACCATAACCATAACAAGTGTAAACGTAGATCTCCTAAAGAGTTGTTGCACATTTCGTAATTCTTCCTACTTCTTATTTACATTTGTAAACAACGTCAAGGCGAGCATGAGATAGTGCACGAACGAATATATGTGTAAGTATCAAGGAGAGCGACCTTCATTGCACATCCACTATAAGGGAAGAAACATACTATGCAACGTACGTAAATATTTGTCAAATGGAAAACACGGACTTACTGACTAGTACAGTTGAATATGACGTAGACAGCGCATTGACCGATCCATCAGGACGTACTATGGGCATCAGAGGAATGTTGTTGATGTAGATATTGGTGCCAGCAACGGGCAGCCAGTAGTTCAGGGTTGAAGGTAGCAGCACAGTTCCAACCTGGCATACCACATGTGGACAGCAATCACTTGCCAGTTTTTCTAGCTTGCAGCCACTTGGTATTTCATTATACTTTGGACATCTGGGAAAATTATTAACTCATTGGTTCATTATTCATTATTCCTGTGGGTGCCATAGAACCAGATCTATTTATAATCACTAGAGCACACACTTCCCTACTCCCCCAAACCCGTGGTGTGATTTAATCCGGTGCTGAACTACATGTTTCCCGGGGCTTCCGCAAATAGACATATTTATTTACAGGACTATATATATGCACACATATACAGGTGTATATATATATATATATATATATATATATATATATATATATATATATATATATATGTATATATATATGTATATATATATATTATATGTATATATATATATATATATATATATATATATATATATATATATACTAGCCGTCCCGGCCAGGCCCTGCTCTGGCTTTTGTGAAAAACCTTTCTGTTAAAGACCATTACCTGTGTGTTTAGTAATCATCATAAACCCGGCATTGCCCAACCAAACCACAACCAACCAAAACCAAAACAACAAAACGCAAACATAACGCTAACACAATTACAAATACAAACGAAAACAAAAACTTACAACAAACCAACCACAACCACAAACACCAATACGAACACAAAGAAAAAAGCAAACGAAAACAAACCAAATCCAAACACAAAACCAACCACAAACACAAACCCAAAGAAAAAAACAAACGAAAAAGCAAACGAAAACAAACCAAATACAAATGCAAAACCAACCACAAACCCAAAGAAAAAAAACACAAAAGAAAAAACAAACGAAAACAAACCAAATCCAAACGCAAAACCAACCTCAAACACAAATACAAACACAAACCCAATGAAAATAAAACACAAACGAAAACGAAAAAAGAAAGAACAAAAACGAACCAAATCAAAACGCAACCACTAACGCAAACCCAACCTAAACACAAAGAAAACACTAACGCGAATATAAACGCAAAGTGCTCACGGGGCTGAATCGCCTACTTCAACTTAATAAACGACTATAGTACCCCAACTTATTCATAGTCTTTTGCACTCACTTTAATGAACGTAGGCGCGAAACCGAACACGGGAGGCCCGGGACCCCAAAAAGCACCCTGTCTGGGCGCCAGAGGACGCACCATGACGTCACCGCCTGATTGAACTTAGTAAACGCCTATAGTGCATAACTTATTTATAGTCTTTTGAACTCACGCGAACGTAGATACCATAGCGTACACCGGAAGGCCCGGGGCGCCAAATAGCACCCTGTCGGGGTGCCGGAGGACGCCCGGATTTGATTCACTTAAAGACTATAGTAACCTTTCTTATCCATAGTCTATCGCACTGTTTAAAACAAAATTATGCAGCATAGCGCTCACATGATAGCCCAGGGTGCCAAATCAAACCGTGCAGGGGCGCCGGCGGACGCGCCTGTTTCAATTTAGTGAACAACAATGATAATACTCCAAGCTTATCCGTAAATGGAAAGAAATAAACGTATATGATTTGTAGGACCTGGCTTATTAAATGTTATTGATTTTAAAAAAAATAATAATTATTGAACAGTATGTTCAGTGTATAGAATAAATAAAAGGCAGTGTTAAAAATACCTAACGACATTGCACTTAATCAATCCCCGCTAATTGTGTAATTATTTTTTTTTTTCTTAACACCAAAAACAAAGTAATAAAATGTTAATTCTCTCTTCTTAAGGATTTATTTTTCATTAAAGGGAAGTAACTGTGCAGTCAATACATTTCCGACACAATTTTAGAAATTTTATAAACGTCGATACACTTTTTAAAAATTTTATGTCGTGTTCATAATTGAAAATTATTCTTCTAAGTAAATAGAATGAAAATTGTTTTTAAAGACTTTCAATGGTAATTTTTTGACTCGTAAATTTAGACTTTGAGCACGATAAAAAATCTAACGCTTAAATCCGTAGAAGTGTCAACGACAAACTTTTTTGTTTTTTGCCACACGTTACAGAACTGAGCTTTATATATTAGATATATATATATATATATATAATGTATTTATAGGACGCTAGGTAGTGTGTCAGTCAATCAAATCAAGGAATAGCTACGCTGTCTTCGTCAAAACTAAATAGTGTTGTATTTTTATCATAAAAATCTCAAAGTTAGATGTAGCCCCTCATTCACATCTTTTCAATGTAGTGCGTTTAGATTTTAATTAGTTAAAAATACTCAGTACGCAGAGCGCCAAAAATCGAAAAAATACAAAGCTTTGTGTGCATCTTATTGGTAAAGGCTTTTATTTAGCTTACAAATTATTTTTGTGTGTTTGATTGTGGCTCTGCAAATCTTAAAATATTAATTTAAACCACTTCCTATTGTCTTTTAATTTTAGTCACATGATCCTATAGCTTTAGTAAGGTTACAACAAATCGAATTCTTTTTACTTCTTAGTATATTTAAAACTATGTGTGTGTGTGTGTGTGTGTGTGTGTATATGATTATAATTAATGCCTTTTTTAATTAAAAAGGTTTATTAGCATGTCGGCATAGTTTCGTTCATTCCGAACACGTAAACCATTAAAAGTTAAGAAAATATTGCATATATGCACATTATAAAAATGTTATACCTAGCACCAATTTGTTATAACTTGGACCTATTTATTATAACTATGACCTAGAACTACAGAATGTGATGTTGGCTTAGACAGCCATAACATCAGTTGTATAACAAGTTTATGAATTAGAAATCTTGAAGTGACTCACTTGCTGAAACACCTGTAATAGCCGTAGTACTGAGTGTCGCACGTGCATACGTGCTCACAGTCCGGCTCCCAAACGTCACCTTGTACGTACTGCACACCGTTGTACATGCATCTGTCGTCAGGGGCGGGTACAAACCCGGGGTACTTGACGTGGCACAGGTCACAAAACACGGGGCAGTTTTCTGTCATAAAGGGTCGATAGTTGCCCTCACACGTGTCCTTACCATAGAGTGGACACTCGGGCTTCAGGTCAATGCAGGGAGGCTGTTTGGACTCATCGTAGATCTCTTTGACTGACATAAACATAATAAAATTTAACACAATAGATCTCTTTGACAGATATAAAACGTTATTTATTAATTATTTTTCAGTACATTAAATTTTAAAAAATTTACAATAGGGTTGCACGACTAAAAACCATTGCGCACCTAATGAACATGATAACGCACGCATACTGGTGCGAATAGTTGGATAAGACAGCTTACTAATTTGGACAATAAAAATTCATAAAAATTTAGGCATCCAATTAAGTCAAATTTAATGTCAGATTGCATTGTCTTCATGTCTTGACCCACGTGCCAATTATGAAACGAATCTGCCAGTTAGAATGCCCGAAATTTCGCTTGAGCGTTTCGATATATGACGACTGACGACAGACAGAGGAAGCAAGGTAATAAACGCTTGTAAAGAAATTCATTAAAATTTTTTCATAAAAAACGTTTTAATAACAAGCTTTTATGTACTGTTATGTTTTGGGTTAGTCTCTGACAAACAATAACGCTTAGTGTCTAACTTCACTACTTTTATTCGTCTCAATGCATTCAAGCGTACCAGAACAGCCCTCGTCCTAACCGCTACTAACCCGCTGACTGCCCCCACAATCGTTCACTCGCCCTTTTATACCCGCATTCGAATATAAACGAAAATGATATTTGACATTGATCTTTTTAATATGTTTTAGCAATGTGCGTGTATTTAATATTTTCTTTACGTTATACAAAAAAGTAAAAACGGTGGCAATTATAAAATAGCTCTATGCTGTTATATAAACAAACCCTACTCTACCACTTATAATAAGACACTGCGGTGCACTGAAAAGCACAGTATGGTGCGATGTTTACTTTTATGGTTTCAAAATCTATAGCGATGACAGAAGGACTGACACACACTCAGTCCGCTTATATTATAGACGAGAAAAATGGCCCGTTGAGGAAGGATACAACGGGCGCTAGGCTGATAGTGCTGTCTCTTTTCTCTAAACTAAAACCACCCCGACCCCCCCCCCCCACACCACCCCCCACCCCCACCCCCACCCCCCCCCCCCCCAAAAAAAACATGTCTACCGTCCCATTCAACGAAATATAATTATATACTTTTTCCAGTATCCGCCCCCTCCCCGAAAATTCTACCCCCGCCCCCGAAAATTTCAAGTACCCCCACCCCTCTCCGGGGAGGAAAAAGTCTGAAAGAAACACTGGTGTCGCGCTTAGCCACTACCCGAAGAATTGCATTAAAGAAATTGCAAGAAAACCACTTTTTAGATTAGACACATTAATTAGGCGGTAATTTTATTATAGAGTATCGATGAAGAAATTTCTTTTGAGTTAGGGAGGGGGGGGGGGGCTCAGACGTTCTTACGCGGGGGTGGGGCTTCGCCCCTACCCGAAGAATTGTATGAAAGAAACTCTTCACGCAAACCACTTAGATTAGACAAAATTTCCTTTTTATTCAATGTTTACTCGAGAATCAATGACGTCATATTACTGTGTGAACTCTCCGGCTTGATATTATCTTCTACTATATGACGTCATATTTCGTTTCCGTCTGACTGTGCATGTTTTCTCTAGAGCGTTCTTGTCAGACAGATAGATAGATAGATACACAGACAGCGAAACTATTAGTATTAATTATATTATAGATGTTATAATGTATTTCGTAACACCCAGCATGCTAGATGTATTTCCATACACCTAGCATATTTTGACTTACAGCCAGCGTGCTAGATATTTTGACTTACAGCCAGCGTGCTAGATATTTTGACTTACAGCCAGCGTGCTAGATATTTTGACTTACAGCCAGCGTGCTAGATATTTTGACTTACAGCCAGCGTGCTAGATATTTTGACTTACACCCAGCGTGCTAGATATTTTGACTTACAGCCAGCGTGCTAGATATTTTGACTTACACCCAGCGTGCTAGATATTTTGACTTACAGCCAGCGTGCTCCGAGACTGTACCGAAGCCAGTGATGGCAGCCGTGCTTGTCCTTAGCTCACATCTCGGGGTCTTGCAGCACGAGCCTGGGGTAGCCTCCAGGTAGCAGAACGAGGGAAAGTTGGTCATGTTGTAGACAGGGCAGCTTCATGTTGACACAGACAAACAGTTGATCAAATAGTTGACAGACACATCAAGACGATCAAACAGTTGACAGACACATCAAGACGATCAAACAGTTGACAGACACATCAAGACGATCAAATAGTTGACAGACACATCAAGACGATCAAATAGTTGACAGACACATCAAGACGATCAAATAGTTGACAGACACATCACATCAAGACGATGAAACATTAGGCAGGAGTAGACATGAAGATTTAGATGAAGATGTGATTCAGATGAAGATGATGGCATTAAAGAACCTACGTGTCCGTGCAGTTGATGATGCCGTTGTCTGCATCCACACAGATGCACTGGCTGGAGCAGCCGTTGTCGATTGGCTGGTCTTGCTTGTACTGACGTCCGTTATATTCACAAACATCTGCCATGTCAAAATAACGGCATTACACAAACATCTGCCATGTCAAAATACAGCATTATACAAACATCTGCCATGTCAAAATAACGGCATTACACAAACATCTGCCATGTCAAAATAACGGCATTACACAAACATCTGCCATGTCAAAATACAGCATTATACAAACATCTGCCATGTCAAAATAACGGCATTACACAAACATCTGCCATGTCAAAATACAGCATTATACAAACATCTGCCATGTCAAAATAACGGCATTACACAAACATCTGCCATGTCAAAATAACGGCATTATACAAACATCTGCCATGTCAAAATAACGGCATTACACAAACATCTGCCATGTCAAAATAACGGCATTATACAAACATCTGCCATGTCAAAATAACGGCATTACACAAACATCTGCCATGTCAAAATAACGGCATTACACAAACATCTGCCATGTCAAAATACAGCATTATACAAACATCTGCCATGTCAAAATAACGGCATTACACAAACATCTGCCATGTCAAAATAACGGCATTATACAAACATCTGCCATGTCAAAATAACGGCATTACACAAACATCTGCCATGTCAAAATAACGGCATTATACAAACATCTGCCATGTCAAAATAACGGCATTACACAAACATCTGCCATGTCAAAATAACGGCATTATACAAACATCTGCCATGTCAAAGTAACGGCATTACACAAACATCTGCCATGTCAAAATAACGGCATTACACAAACATCTGCCATGTCAAAATAACGGCATTATACAAACATCTGCCATGTCAAAGTAACGGCATTACACAAACATCTGCCATGTCAAAATAACGGCATTACACAAACATCTGCCATGTCAAAATAACGGCATTATACAAACATCTGCCATGTCAAAGTAACGGCATTACACAAACATCTGCCATGTCAAAATAACGGCATTACACAAACATCTGCCATGTCAAAATAACGGCATTACACAAACATCTGCCATGTCAAAATAACGGCATTACACAAACATCTGCCATGTCAAAATAACGGCATTATACAAACATCTGCCATGTCAAAGTAACGGCATTACACAAACATCTGCCATGTCAAAATAACGGCATTACACAAACATTTGCCATGTCAAAATAACGGCATTATACAAACATCTGCCATGTCAAAGTAACGGCATTACACAAACATCTGCCATGTCAAAATAACGGCATTACACAAACATCTGCCATGTCAAAATAACGGCATTACACAAACATCTGCCATGTCAAAATAACGGCATTACACAAACATCTGCCATGTCAAAATAACGGCATTACACAAACATCTGCCATGTCAAAATAACGGCATTACACAAACATCTGCCATGTCAAAGTAACGGCATTACACAAACATCTGCCATGTCAAAATAACGGCATTACACAAACATCTGCCATGTCAAAGTAACGGCATTACACAAACATCTGCCATGTCAAAATAACGGCATTACACAAACATCTGCCATGTCAAAATAACGGCATTACACAAACATCTGCCATGTCAAAGTAACGGCATTACACAAACATCTGCCATGTCAAAGTAACGGCATTACACAAACATCTGCCATGTCAAAGTAACGGCATTACACAAACATCTGCCATGTCAAAGTAACGGCATTACACAAACATCTGCCATGTCAAAGTAACGGCATTACACAAACATCTGCCATGTCAAAGTAACGGCATTACACAAACATCTGCCATGTCAAAGTAACGGCATTACACAAACATCTGCCATGTCAAAGTAACGGCATTACACAAACATCTGCCATGTCAAAGTAACGGCATTACACAAACATCTGCCATGTCAAAGTAACGGCATTACACAAACATCTGCCATGTCAAAGTAACGGCATTACACAAACATCTGCCATGTCAAAGTAACGGCATTACACAAACATCTGCCATGTCAAAGTAACGGCATTACACAAACATCTGCCATGTCAAAGTAACGGCATTACACAAACATCTGCCATGTCAAAGTAACGGCATTACACAAACATCTGCCATGTCAAAGTAACGGCATTACACAAACATCTGCCATGTCAAAGTAACGGCATTACACAAACATCTGCCATGTCAAAGTAACGGCATTACACAAACATCTGCCATGTCAAAGTAACGGCATTACACAAACATCTGCCATGTCAAAGTAACGGCATTATACAAACATCTGCTAGGTCAAAGTAACGGCATTACACAAACATCTGCTAGGTCAAAGTAACGGCATTATACAAACATCTGCCATGTCAAAGTAACGGCATTACACATTATTAAATGTCTACTGTGTCTTAGACTCAGAAATTTTCCATCAAGATATGATTGATTGATTCAGACCAGATGATACCCCCAACCAATGGCCTTATGATTTGAAGGTGACCTTCCATGTTGCCTAAGTCTATAAATAGACTGCGCACAGGTGTCTCGAGGCAGTTCATTGACCAGACGTCGTTGAGAGACATAAGCCCTGTGTGTTGCCGTGTAGTACTAAATAGTTAAGCAGCATATTCTTATATTACTTGTGGTTAAGTAATTCTTTATGCTTATGGCAGTGATGTGTATACTGTGGTGATTTTTCTGAAGTGTTAAAAGCTGTGATAGTGTATCATATTATTTTTTCCCACGAATTGTAAGTTGGGTTTTGTTCATTCTGTAAATCTATTTTATCCTGTTTAAATCTAGTGTTCTGCCACGACTTTGTACACTCATTAAAAGTTATATGCAGATTAAATGTATTGTTGGCATCAGTAGTTTCTCTAGTGTTTCCCCTAGACATCAAGTACGAGTCCTAGTAAAACTATTGTGTTAGCTTTCTTTTATTTAGGCTTGTCGCCATCTGTGTGTAATCAGTTAAACGAATCCGGGAGCGTTCGCCATCTATCTGGCTGATAGATTGGTGTCTGTTACACTATATCGTGGCTTTTTAAAACTTCCACTTTGGCTATATAGTGGCTTTTTAAAACTTCTACTGTGTATATATAAAGGCTTTTTAAAACTTGTACTGTGTCTATATAATGGCTTTACACACGCTTCCACAAAAGTCGATTTTTTTCGGACCCGACACCCCCCCCCCCCCCCCGTGTGGACGTCATAAATGGACTACCCCTAACACTTCCTGTCACGTTTTGAAATTTTGAAGTTCTATGTGTTTTATTGCATTGCTATCTTGGTGTCTTGATAATAGAAAGTTTATAAAAAAAAAATTCTAAAGTGTTACGGCACTAATTTGAATTAAGACACAACCATTCTAATAGAGAATGTGTATGAGTTTGAGTGTGCGTGTGTGTGTGAGTGTGTGTGTGTGTGTGTGTTTTTGTGTTTCTGTCTGTAAAAATTATAGCTTGAGTACCGTTTCAGTTATGTTGACTTTTTTCACATATGAGAATAATGTCAAATGTGTAGTTTTTTGTTAGCTTTTGAGCGATTTCCAGTAACAGGAAGTTAACGTACTCTACTCTTGGTCTCTTAAAAGCCGACAACTTAAGTACGATTAGGTGACGTAATTTTTAGCTAGCTTTTAAATGATTTCCGGTCATCGGCACTTTACTTGATTTTAATCGGAACACGATGAATTATGAACTATTTCAGTTACGTAGACGATATTTCATATATACGTAAACGATCTTATAATTAGATTACTATTAATTTTTTAATGACATCCGATATCCAGAAGTGGTACTTTTATCAATTTCTAGTTAAAAAAACAACACCTGAAACGCCAAATAACTTGAGTAGTTTCATTTAGCTATTAGAAATTTCATACGAAGGTATATGATCTTATTCGCTATTCTCTGTTTATATTTAAGTTATTTCCGGTGATCGGAAGTAGTACTTTACGCTATTACCGATTTATCTAGAAAGTGCACATTTTACGCTCTATTATACTCACACTTTTTGCGTTCATCAAGTACGCAATCCTTTTTACAAGGTAAATTCAACTTTCTTCTTCTCTGTCTGTCTTACTGTCTATCTATCTTCTATCATGGTGCGAAACCGTAATTAGTCATGCAACTCTAGTGTCTTGAATATTTTAAAGTATTGAAAAATAAAGCGATAGTGAGCTCCTATAAACTTTCTCGAATATTCACATTTTGATCAAATTTTCAATACTATTGTTTTTTAAAGAATAGAATAGAATGTCGTAGAAAAAAAATAAGTGCGCACCAAATGAACAGCAAACAGTGTGTGTATAATACTGCGGAACATTAAAACATTACAAAGAAAAACTCAATTAATTTTCAAAGTGTTGATTTAAGCATCCAATTAAGTAACATTTTATGTCACAATACATTGTCTTTGAGTCTTGACTTACTTGAAAAGTTTAAATAATTTGGTCCGATAGAAGTGTTCGAAATTTCGCTCAAAAGTTTCCGATCATGACGGACGAAAGACAGGAAATAAGTAAAAAAAAAATTCTTATGCGTTTTTTATTATTGTTTTGAAATTGGAAATAACCTAAAGTACTACTTCCATTGACCTGAAATTACTCAAAATTTGACAGAAGACAGAAAATTAGATTTTATACATATAGATATGTGAAATTTGTCTATCTATCAGAAACAGTACTCAAGTAATAGGCTTTTAAAATACCGTAAGCAGAATAAATTCCATTTCCGATAACCGGAAACCGCTGAAAAATTGAAACTGAACTAAAAATCGGATATAATACTTGTATATAAAATGTCATCAAACTAGCTGTAATGTTACTTAAGTTATCGTGTTCACAGATAGATACACATACATACACACTCACATACACACACACAGACATACAAACAAAATTGTAAAACTAAGTATTTCCGACTCAAGGAGGTATAAAGCATCGAGATTTGTGAAAAACGCAATTTCGATTTTGTGCATGATTACAATAGTTTCTCTATACTAATAACAATCTATTATATAATTATCCATTGAAAAGGTGAAAATAAATTATTTTCTTAATAGGTAGGGTCTTGCATTATTACACCACTATTTAAACTATTTAAAAATTCTCTTCCATATTTCAACGCATTGGCCCATTTAACCACAATGCTACTCACAGACACACACAGTGACCTAATTAATTGGCCCATTTAACCACAATGCTACTCACAGACACACACAGTGACCTAATTAAAAATGTATTTACTTTGTTGGTCGGGGGAGATCCCTTGAGCAATAACCGTGAAAGTGTTGGCGGTCGATTCAAAGTGGCAGACCGGCTGTAGACAGCATTCCCCGGCCTTGTAAACCAGCGTGCAAAATGGTGGAAGGTCGTGGTAGACGTCACACCTATATGTAAGGGAGATTATAACAGACATCACATTTATATGAAAGGGAGGTTACAATAGACATCACAATTGTATGAAAGGGAGATTATAACAGACAGCACACGAAAGGGAGGCTGTGACAAATGGAAGTTAAGATAATCGTTCGATCGGATTTAGAATTTTATTTTAAAATCTGCACTACCTCAAATCCGGGTTCAAGTCAGTAGACCGTCCCTGAGACCACCCAACTCTGATGTGTACCTAATTCATGTTAGGGAAGTAAAGGCGGCTGGGCATAGTGCTCACCACACTATCTCTTCATATGCCCAAGTCGCAGAAACAAGTGAAGTCTACTTCACTTGCTCCATAGACCGTCATGTTTGAAAGGGAAACTTACTATCCCAAATCTTAACTAACGCGTTTGTGAAAACGACGGTTCATTTAAAACCTACTTGGACGTGCACTCAAATTTGCCGTGCGCTGCATCAGTGCAAACACAGTCATAGTCACAGCCGTCACTCCATCTCTCACCTTGCCCGTAAGCTTTAGACTTGTACATGCATTGACCATCTTTAACAAAAAGTAGACATATGCCATTTAACTCTACTTCTGACATTAACATTTGACATTAAGATCTACTTCTGACATTTACTTTTGACATTAAGATCTACTTCTGACATTTACATTTGACATTAAGATCTACTTCTGACATTTACATTTGACATTTAGATCTACTTCTGACATTTACTTACGGAAACCTGGAGTTTCAGCTCTTACATCTATAACAAAAATGAAATTATTTTATCAGTTTATACATCATCGATAATTTCTTGAAACCGTTGGAGTTCAATTTTAACTCAACATGTTTTCTGTGCTACATTACTGCGGGGGATTTATCTACAACATGTACAACAAACAATTGATTAAAGCAACAACAAAAAAAGCAGCAACAAAAAGAACAATGAAGAACAGCATCAACACCAACAACAATAAACGAAAAAAAAAACTTTAGACATGCAAGCAGCGTCACATGTTGGGGAAACGGGGTAGCAATTTACATGACCAGACACACTAATTTACATGACCACACACACTAATTTACATGACCAGACACACTAATTAACATGACCACACACACTAATTTACATGACCACACACACTAATTTACATGACCACACACACTAATTTACATGACCAGACACACTAATTTACATGACCAGACACTAATTTACATGACCAGACACACTAATTTACATGACCACACACACTAATTTACATGACCACACACACTAATTAACATGACCAGACACACTAATTAACATGACCACACACACTAATTTACATGACCAGGCACACTAATTAACAACTACACACAATCCACACATTAGACTACCTACCACACATCAGACTACCTACCACACATCAGACTACCTACCACACAAACCACACATCAGACTACCTACCACACATTAGACTACCTACCACACATCAGACTACCTACCACACATCAGACTACCTACCACACAAACCACACATCAGACTACCTACCACACATCAGACTACCTACCACACATCAGACTACCTACCACACATCAGACTACCTACCACACATCAGACTACCTACCACACAATCCACACATCAGGCTACCTACCACACATCAGACTACCTACCACACATCAGACTACCTACCACACATCAGACTACCTACCACACAATCCACACATCAGACTACCTACCACACATCAGACTACCTACCACACATCAGACTACCTACCACACAATCCACACATCAGACTACCTACCACACATCAGACTACCTACCACACATCAGACTACCTACCACACAATCCACACATCAGGCTACCTACCACACATCAGACTACCTACCACACATCAGACTACCTACCACACAAACCACACATCAGACTACCTACCACACAATCCACACATCAGTTGACATCTCTCACTAAAGAAGGCAGCGAAAGCGTCACAGTCTGTTGTAGCATACAAGGTGCAGTTGTCAAGTTTGTTGACACAGGTGGGTGGAGTGATGGGGATGGTGGGAATCACAGCTGTGGAGAAGATTAATGGCTGGTGGTTATGGATATTTATTGATCAATCGTAATCAGGTGTAGATCGCTCTTTAAAAAGAACTAGAATACCCGTCATCCGTTGGATAACTGTGGGCTTCGGGGGTCATCCATCAAAAAACATCACGTCTGTCACTCAAGAGGCATAGCGACCCTTCCCGGCGCCCGGGGACAAACTTTTCGATTTGAACCCCCCCCCCCCCCCCCCAAGATTTCGATTTTCAACCCCCCCCCCCCCACCCCCTTCAAACTTTTGATGTGCACCCCCCCCCATTCAAACTTTCCATTTGAACCCCCCTCAACCTTTCAATTTATTTTTCCAAACCATTTTAGCGCCCCAACATATGTCCCCCCCCCCTTCCCCCCCCCCGCCTCCCCTCCCCCCCCCGCCCCCCTCCTTGCTACGCTACTGCAGTGTCACTTATCGTCACAAAAACAGACCCCACATTCAAAAATATGTTTTTTATCTTTTAAAAACACCGAAAACACCGATTTCGGACTATCCCTTCATATACTGACGTCACAAGTGACCTACTCAACTCTACTTCACCTGCCCAGTGTCCCGCCAAGTCTCAGACAACAAAAACTATTCCAGCCGAGCATGTCTCTGACCACACTATCCCTTAATTTGCTTAGGACAAAGAAACAGATGAACCCTACTTCACCTGCCCTGTGCCCCGCGAGGTCCTGATAGTCAACCTTATCATTCACATATAGGGCTTAAGAAAAAATAATTGAAAACGTAAAAAAAAAAAAAAAGTTCTATTAATGTTTATGACACTGACTTTAAAATTTAGCCTTCATTCTCCAAAGCAAATTTTAAAATGCTTTTCTGGCATATCTAGCCCTGGCCACCTATACAATGTTTAAATAATGTGAACACCCGCCATTTTGTTCGTGGTAAACATGGCCTAAAAATGATCGGCAGACATGCGTCCGGTCCGTACGCCATATTGTTGTTAGCAGCCGACCACACCTCCAAGCTAGTGAGTAATCCTACTTTATCTAGATATAGAACGTAGATAACAAAAAAAGCCCATGTATTCTCGAATTAGATGATCATTGAAGCTAAACAAAGATTTATATAAAATAATTAAGGCCCGAAATAGATTCTAGATGTAGAATTTACATTAATCTAGATCTAGAATTTACATTGAGTCTAGTGACCTAGATCTAGATCTAGGCCCTAGGCTAGATTCTAGATTCATAACTTTCCTTCGACAGCAGATCTTTAGATCTAGAGAAATTTATTGTAAAACTAAATGAAAAAGACAGTTGAAAATTGATATAAGTGTTGGAACGTAATAAATACAGCAAACGGACGTATTGTTAAAGTTATGACCGACAGAAAATTAGATTTAGAACGCGTTAAACTTGTGAATGGGAACACAATTTTCTTCGATAGACGCCGCCATTTTATTGTACTAAAGAGTAAACAAAAACCTGTGACGTCACGGTCCCGCCGAGTCTAGTGGCTTTTCAAATCTTTTTTAAAAAAATGGGTTACTGTACGTATGAATAAATCAATAAATTAATTAACGTCTTTAAATAAATTTGTGATTAACAGTCTGTCTGCATTAAAAAATTATTCTCTACCTACATACTATTTTACAGCTGTCCCGGTAGAGTCGAACATATCACAATAGTCAATCAGGCAAACAAATAAATATTCAAACATGTAAACAAACTTGACTTTTAGTAGTATATAGATATAGGCTTCATAGTGCTCATAGATGAGTCCTCGGAAATCCATGTTACATGAGGCAGCTGGTGCAGACCAGACCAGACCAGACCAGGGATGTGACCAGACCAGGGATGTGACCAGACCAGACCAGACCAGGGATGTGACCAGACCAGACCTAACCAGACCAGACTAGACCACACCAGACCAGGGATGTGACCAGACCAGACCAGACCAGACCAGGGATGTGACCAGACCAGGGATGTGACCAGACCAGGGATGTGACCAGACCAGACCAGGGATGTGACCAGACCAGGGATGTGACCAGACCAGGGATGTGACCAGACCAGACCAGACCAGGGATGTGACCAGACCAGACCAGGGATGTGACCAGACCAGACCAGGGATGTGACCAGACCAGACCAGGGATGTGACCAGACCAGACCAGACCAGGGATGTGACCAGACCAGGGATGTGACCAGACCAGACCAGGGATGTGACCAGACCAGACCAGACCAGGGATGTGACCAGACCAGACCAGACCAGACCAGGGATGTGACCAGACCAGACCAGGGATGTGACCAGACCAGACCAGGGATGTGACCAGACCAGACAAGGGATGTGACAAGACCAGACCAGGGATGTGACCAGACCAGACCAGGGATGTGACCAGACCAGACCAGGGATGTGACCAGACCAGACCAGGGATGTGACCAGACCAGGGATGTGACCAGACCAGACCAGGGATGTGACCAGACCAGACCAGGGATGTGACCAGACCAGACCAGACCAGGGATGTGACCAGACCAGACCAGGGATGTGACCAGACCAGGGATGTGACCAGACCAGACCAGACCAGGGATGTGACCAGACCAGACCAGGGATGTGACCAGACCAGACCAGGGATGTGACCAGACCAGACCAGACCAGACCAGACCAGACCAGGTATTTGACCAGACCAGACCAGACCAGACCAGGGATGTGACCAGACCAGACCAGGGATGTGACCAGACCAGACCAGGGATATGACCAGACCTGACCAGGGATGTGACCAGACCAGACCAGGGATGTGACCAGACCAGACCAGACCAGACCAGGGATGTGACCAGACCAGACCAGACCAGGGATGTGACCAGACCAGACCAGGGATGTGACCAGACCAGACCAGGGATGTGACCAGACCAGGGATGTGACCAGACCAGACCAGGGATGTGACCAGACCAGACCAGACCAGACCAGGGATGTGACCAGACCAGACCAGGGATGTGACCAGACCAGACCAGGGATGTGACCAGACCAGGGATGTGACCAGACCAGACCAGACCAGGGATGTGACCAGACCAGACCAGGGATGTGACCAGACCAGACCAGGGATGTGACCAGACCAGACCAGGGATGTGACCAGACCAGACCAGACCAGGGATGTGACCAGACCAGACCAGACCAGACCAGACCAGGGATGTGACCAGACCAGACCAGACCAGACCAGGGATGTGACCAGACCAGACCAGGGATGTGACCAGACCAGACCAGACCAGGGATGTGACCAGACCAGACCAGACCAGACCAGGGATGTGACCAGACCAGACCAGACCAGACCAGGGATGTGACCAGACCAGACCAGACCAGACCAGGGATGTGACCAGACCAGACCAGACCAGACCAGGGATGTGACCAGACCAGAACAGGGATGTGACCAGACCAGACCAGGGATGTGACCAGACCAGACCAGGGATGTGACCAGACGAGACCAGACCAGACCAGACCAGGGATGTGACCAGACCAGACCAGGGATGTGACCAGACCAGACCAGGGATGTGACCAGACCAGACCAGGGATGTGACCAGACCAGACCAGGGATGTGACCAGACCAGACCAGGGATGTGACCAGACCAGACCAGACCAGGGATGTGACCAGACCAGACCAGACCAGACCAGACCAGGGATGTGACCAGACCAGACCAGACCAGGGATGTGACCAGACCAGACCAGACCAGGGATGCGACCAGACCAGACCAGACCAGGGATGTGACCAGACCAGACCAGGGATGTGACCAGACCAGACCAGGGATGTGACCAGACCAGACCAGACCAGGTATTTGACCAGACCAGACCAGACCAGACCAGGGATGTGACCAGACCAGACCAGGGATGTGACCAGACCAGACCAGGGATGTGACCAGACCAGACCAGGGATGTGACCAGACCAGACCAGGGATGTGACCAGACCAGACCAGGGATGTGACCAGACCAGACCAGGGATGTGACCAGACCAGACCAGACCAGACCAGACCAGGTATTTGACCAGACCAGACCAGACCAGACCAGGGATGTGACCAGACCAGACCAGGGATGTGACCAGACCAGACCAGGGATGTGACCAGACCAGACCAGGGATGTGACCAGACCAGACCAGGGATGTGACCAGACCAGACCAGGGATGTGACCAGACCAGACCAGACCAGGGATGTGACCAGACCAGACCAGACCAGACCAGGGATGTGACCAGACCAGACCAGACCAGGGATGTGATTAGACCAGACCAGGGATGTGACCAGACCAGACCAGGGATGTGACCAGACCAGACCAGGGATGTGACCAGACCAGACCAGGGATGTGACCAGACCAGACCAGGGATGTGACCAGACCAGACCAGACCAGACCAGGGATGTGACCAGACCAGACCAGGGATGTGACCAGACCAGACCAGGGATGTGACCAGACCAGGGATGTGACCAGACCAGACCAGACCAGGGATGTGACCAGACCAGACCAGGGATGTGACCAGACCAGACCAGGGATGTGACCAGACCAGACCAGGGATGTGACCAGACCAGACCAGGGATGTGACCAGACCAGACCAGACCAGACCAGGGATGTGACCAGACCAGACCAGACCAGGGATGTGACCAGACCAGACCAGGGATGTGACCAGACCAGACCAGACCAGGGATGTGACCAGACCAGACCAGGGATGTGACCAGACCAGGGATGTGACCAGACCAGACCAGGGATGTGACCAGACCAGGGATGTGACCAGACCAGACCAGGGATGTGACCAGACCAGACCAGACCAGGGATGTGACCAGACCAGGGATGTGACCAGACCAGACCAGGGATGTGACCAGACCAGACCAGACCGGACCAGGGATGTGACCAGACCAGGGATGTGACCAGACCAGACCAGACCAGACCAGGGATGTGACCAGACCAGGGATGTGACCAGACCAGACCAGACCAGGGATGTGACCAGATCAGACCAGACCAGACCAGGGATGTGACCAGACCAGACCAGACCAGA